TGATGTTTAGGGTGGCCCACACTTTTTATTGGGATTTGATGTGATTTAGCCAAGAAAAATAGAGAAATCAACATGTTTTAAACCTAGAATTGTGATTTAAATTAATTGCAAATCTGGTTGGTGGTTTCAACCCCTCTGAAAAATATTAATCAGTTGGGATGATTATTCCCAATATATGGAAAATTAAAAGCCATGTTCCAAATCACCAACCAGAAATAGATGGAAATTAAGACCCGAAGAAGTGAGACCATAGCCGCCATGTTCATGGTGTTCGAAGCAGCCAATACGGTGATTAAAGCAGTGAACCAGTGAACATTGGAAATGGATCAGAAACGATGGATATGTCCTTAAATCAACGATGGGAATCAAAGGGACTTGATGAGCAATTAAGGGTATTGGATGGTATTGGTATGCCCTGATTTTCAGCAATAACTGGTTGGTGGTTTCAATTTCTCTGAAAAATATGAAAGTCAGTTGGGATGATTATTCCCAATATATATATGAGAAAATAAAAACATGTTCCAAACCACCAACCAAATAATGATTGGGAAAGTGATCATAGACCATGAGATGGAATGTTGCATGAATTGTTCATGTTGACATTTTTTGTTAGCCAAAAATGTTTGAGACCATGGATAATGTACAATACAGTTCTGGCCCTTGACCAGTTATAAGTACGTATAGCACCATTTCTGGAATGTATAATCCCATTTACAACCAGTTATAACTTATAAATTGCTATAACTGTAGTGATCCACTCGTCTCATTGTAACAGGATTAATCTGGCTAAATTTTAACCGTTCACCACCTGAAGGAGCCTGTCTCAAGGACCCGTTTTAAGTAACATTTATGTCTGCGGCTTTCTTAAGTCATGGGGGATCCCCAAGGTAAAACCATGGTGGTTTCAGTTGTTTGAATACTGAGTCATGGTCATCCATGACTTGGATGATGATGGGGGGTACTCTCAGGACTTAGGAAACCTGCAAAGCGGAAATGAGTGCAACTTTCAACTTTAGATCGCTGTGGGTCACAATTGTTCCCGTGAGTACCCTCCTGTTCAACATCAATTCTTTGAGAAAATCTACCCTCTGGATCCCTCTGGTAATTTAACATAGCTATTGAAAATGGCCATTTATAGTGGATTTACCTATCAAACATGGTGATTTTCCATAGTTATGTTAATTTACCACAGGGTACAAGGACCTTCACTCCATCTTAGATAAACCTTAGGTATCTCCAAATTGATCCCCAAATTCTTCAGATCTCCCAGTTCAAAGACTCCCATTCATTGCTGACAGACTGTCAACACCAAGTTCTGGCGTCCCAATGGACTCATCGCCAGGTTCCCAGGAGAAATCTTCCTTAACTATCCCATGAATTTCCATTCATATCCCTTCATTGTTGGTGAATGTTGGTGATATATATATATATATATATATGTTCCAATTCATAATTCCAAATAGATCCTGTTGGATCCTATTCAAATGCCCATTGTCAGCCACGATTAGCCACGTTTAACCCCATATAATAATGGCTTAAATGAATCTGGATCCTCTCCTATACTCCATATATATATATATATATATATCCATATCAACCACTATTGGCCACCATGAACCACTGAAACGTTGCTGTTTAATCCCTCATTTTGGATAGTTTAACCACCATTTTTGTGAGCAATAATCCATCCAGTCAAGTTGGTCATGATATCCCATGATCATTCCATGAACATATCCATGTTAGATGCCATTTAGATCCCATATTAACCCACCATCTGGTTACAACTCACAATACTGTTTGGAAGTGCAGTTCCAGTGAACTAAGTGGATATGTTTTGCCGTAGTTATAGGTCTTCTCTCCCAACTTATGGGGGTTAAAATACCATGGTTATATCCATGTGTGTGTCAATAGATCGATGATTTACCTATATTTACCAAATCAAAGATGGACATGTTCCAGTTCTCAATTGCAAAGTGGTGTGTCGATCCACCATCTGGTGTCTCTTAAAATCAGGGATCGCCAAGTCAACATGTTTGTTAACCTATACTCAGTCATGGTCATCCATGACTTGGATGACTTGGGGGTCCCACCATGGAAACCTCCAGATTGCTTTATAGCTCCAGAATGATCCAGCACCGACAGCCAGGCCACGGGCATCTTGACCAACTCAGAGCGTGTCAGCGCGCCGTTGTGATTGATGTCCAACTTGGTGAAGATGTCCTGGCGCGGAAAGCGCGGCCGTGGCCCGCAACGCGGAGGGCCAGGAAGGAGCAACAAAAAATTGAGTTTTTTTTTTCGGGAAAAATGTGGAAAATTGTGGAAAAATATGGAAACATGTGGAAAATTGTTGGTTTTTGAGGGCTTAACATGGTTTAACATAGGAAATAATGTGGATTAAGGCACCTTCCAGATAGGGTTGATGCAGTTTGAGAACCTGAGAAGGATTGAAGGTGGTTCCGAACTTGGGTTTCAACCACAACGACACATTTATGATCATTCATGAGTGTCAGCCGTACTGGATTATGACAATCCCCAATCATGTGGGTAAAACAATAAACCATTCCCCAGTCATCACCCTTTTTCAATAGGGGGTATAAACCATTCTCAAATCACCACCATATACCATAGTTATAGCTATCCCCTGTAAACCCAAGTGAAATTGGAGTTATTTGAACCAACTTAGCTAACGAACTAAGCATGTTTAAGCACGTTTAACCGCTATAACCCCCTGTCTGAAGCAATCCACCGGCCGCCGGTCCAGAAGCTGCAAGACAGCGGATTTCATTTCATCGCTCCGCGCCTGTGATCACCAAGAATCTGTGGTTTTGGTGTCATGCCCATTTTGGTTGATTATATTCCATGTACGTAAAAATAAATATATATATATATATACACATATATTTATTATATATATATATTTATTTAAATATATATATATACACATATATATCATTAGATTGTATTGTGTTGTACTAAAATTATTGCGGCAACAAACACGAGATATTGTCAGATAGAATGCCAAAATTGCAATATAAAATCTATTTCTGCGGAGGGATCCCAGCTGAATGTTGACAGGACTATTCCACACTCAATCAGGCCAAGGCACTCATGTAGAACCCGAATGTACAAAGGGATGGATTTCTTACCATTAGATCCACTGAAGTCGTCCGCAGTGAAGTGCGCTGCTTTGGCAGTATCACTGGCCCCCCTTTCCCTTGGCCGTCTCCATCGTGATTTTGCAGTTGCGCAGCTTCATGGCCGCCGTGGCCGCCTTTGCGCACAAAGTCAGTTGCAAACGGAAGATGGTTTCCCGCAGGGAAAAAGAGCCGGGCCCCAACAGCAGCTGGCACTAAAACAGGGGTCAGCAGGAGCCAGCAGCACTCAGCACTCAGGCCTAAGAGGCTTGCTGGCGAGAACTTCATCCTGTGGATTCGACGAACTCTGCGCACAAGTGCCACTGTTCCCAGATTCCGAGATTCCCCAAGCAAGTGGGTCAAAGTCGCCCCAGCTGCGAATCCCAGACTTTTTACGAATCCTTTCCAATGCCATGTTGGCTTAGCACAAGCGGCATGCTCCCAAAATGATCCCGGTTTACAAATGGACAACCCCTTCCCATTATTATTAAATAACTCTGACCAAAAAAAGGGGCGGCCTGCTTTTATTGTTACTGGGTTCGGGTGTTAAGTCAGGCATGCCCGTCTAAAGTCAAACATCCCCATGGGCACAGCTCAACCGCGTGAAGTCACAGATGCCGCGAAGAGTCAACCAGAAAACGTCAAAACACCATGGGCACACGTTTCGCATGGACCTTTTTGCAATATGTTGGATTTACCGGATTCCCTGCGCACATTGTGGTAAATCTCAATACTGCAATATATTTAAGGAGATTCAATACAATGGCACAACGGGGTGACAAAGCGCACACATCCTAAGCCCGGGCAAGCCGGGTGACGGAAGTTTCGAGAGAGGGAAGAACCTATAAAGACAAGGGAGAGCCGATAGGAACGGCCCCTGACCGCGGCCGTCGACTGCGTGATCTCTTGGAAGTCTTTGTCCGCGACATTTCTTGCTCTTGGCATCTTTGTCTGGTGCTGTCACTTTCTTTTGATCCGGCTTGCTCCTGACATTTCTGAATCTTGACGGCCAATCTTGTCGACAGCTCTGAAGCCAGAGACTTGACACACCCTTCTCTCCATTTCTCTCCTGACAAGCTTTTTCGGATGTCATCGCTGTCTCTTGAAACCGATGTCGTTTCATGTGCAGGTACAGGTCGCTTCCCTCCACAAAAACTTCGGGGTGAGCCAAGGCAAGACAAGCAGGAGCAGCAAGAGCAATAACAAAAGCGCAAAGAACAGGACTAGCGCAACCCAAACCACAGACAGTAGCAGGGTGGCTCAGGAGTTCCACTGTCCCCGACCCGCCCCATTGGAGCCAGGTACAAGTCGCTTCCCTCCACAAAGACTTCGGGGTGAGCCAAGACAAGAGAGGCATAGAGAAGCAGGAGCAGCAAGAGCAAGAGTAACAAAAGCGCAAGGAACAGGACGAGCACGACCAAAACCACAGACAGTAGCAGGATGGCTCTGGAGTTCCATTGTCCCCTCGCCTGTCTTCTCCATTGCATTTGCCACCGCTTTCCAGCATTCTACGTTGGTGGGAGGATTCTGGAAAACATTGTCAACAGCGAATCCTGCCACCGAATGCCGCTATCAAAAATTCAGCCAAAAACGCTACAAACAACACAAATAAACAATGCCCATGAAAATGCCCAATCAGAGGTTAATAATGGTTAATGATGGTCAATCATTGTCATAATGATTCTATCCCAAACTTGCCGGCGAATAGTTATTTGCCATTCCTCATATGGATTGCAACTTCTAGAAATGTACGAACCAGCTCCTGGGGTTACCCATAATGTACGAAAACATGCTGTACATTAGCTAGGCCCTCCCCTTCGTACATTCAAGTAGCTTGTAGGGATATTATAACTTTATATATTATAATATTTGATTTTAATGATTATATCATATCATATTATATCATGCCATACTATATCATATGTTACTATACTATATTCTATGATTCTTATTTATTATATCAAAGCATAACATATTATATTTATTATATTATAGAGTATTATATTATATGATATTATTCTAGATTGTATCATATCAAATCATATATCAAAGTATATTACATTATATTAGATAAGATTAGATTATGTAATATCTTGTATCATATATTGTACTAGATGATACTATTTCATATTCTATATGCATACTGTTTTCTTTTGGGAGATCATCTCATCAAAAGCATCAGCGACTCAACATTCGGACGGACTTCAGTACGGACCTTCGTCTCGAATTCTGCTTCCTTCCTGGGGCCGGATCGCAGCTGGGACGGAGCAGGATGCGCTAAAGCGGACCCATATCCATCGCCACTCATTTATTATATATAATTAATTATGAATGGCATCATCATGCATGATTTATCGTTGTTTGTAGGGCGTTATTCCACTTATAATCTTATACATTCAGCTTGAACATTATCTACTTGCTAAAATGTTTGTGAAAGTTTTGGATCGGTTCAATACCTTGACATCCAACTTTCAAACCACCAGGGCTGTCGCCAAGCAAAACCAACACTTCACCGCTGCTTTGATGGCAACTTCCAAAAAGACTTGCTGCTACCCAAAAGTTGAAGGTGCTACATGGTGGTTCACCCCAGTTACTCCAGCAAGTGGTTTAGTTCACCCAGTTCACCCCATTTTAGAACTGGAGTAGTCCTATGAACCCTACTGGATTCCTGTAGTGAACCGTCAAGGACACCTTTGGAATTTGCATGAATCGGACTTGCCGCCGGTCATGCTGGAGGTACTAAATGTTAGGCCTCACATGGAGACGTTTCCCCGTACTAAGCTATACCCATCATTCACATTGTTGCGCGGTGAGGTCGTCATAAGTCATCCGTAATGTATGCATATATATATATGTATGTATATATATATGTGGAGGTTTCCTATATATGGCATAAACATATATAAATACAGCTATCGGTTATTGTTGCCTTCTGGTATTGCAACATAGTTATGGTATGGTATGGTGTACATTTGGATGTTATATAGTACCTAGAACTATATTCGATAATTTACCGTCATGTAACATGATGATTATACATAGCAAACTGCAATTTCAATTACCAAAAGGTACTGTATTTTATTACGCGCATAGACAATCAGAATATCATGCGTACGTATATACATATCAATGATTACCGTATTGTAGCATATCAACGACCATTTCAGGAACATAAACTGGAGGTACTGTACCTTACCATATAAAGCCATAAGAATTGGTGGCATATTCCCTAACATTACATAGTCCGTACATAGACCCACCAAAAATAAATAGGTGCCTCCAAAAAATTGGTTCCTGAAAATTTTGCTGATCACATCTTAAGTTGCTTAGGGATATCCCATGCTTATTTCATCAATATATGAAGGAACACCATTCTTGCTAGTTAATTTCCCAACAAACATCACTGGGGGGCCGACCCCAAACATACCATACTTCCACGCAAGTCGCGTACGTTCCGTACGTTGGCAGCTTCGACCAAGTCACTGCGCTGCAGTCATTCCATTTTCAACCAGCACTGCTGTGACCTGTCACGGGAACCATGGCAGACTTAGTACAAGGTGGTGCCCCATAGTTAGCTAAGTTGGTTTTATAAGTCCAATATCTAAGGTTTATGGGGGTTATACCTGTAGTTAATGGGGATAAAAAACCAACTTAAAACTAGGGGGTACCACCTTGTATGTGGATGCATGCGGACACTATTGTAAATGGTGGTTTCCTAAGTCATGGTAGTACCCCCAAATCATCCAAGTCGTTAGACCACGGCTTAGTATTGAAACAAGCATGGTTTTACCTTGGGGATCTCCCACGAGTTCAGAACCACCCCATTTGTGGTTGTTCATAGGGCCCTGGGTCATGTGGTCCTTAGTCAAAATTACTTACCTCGAGTGATCCCCACCAAAACATTCTATCTATTTCTATCTGACATATATTCTGACATCCTATCTGGCATTCTCCCTGGCATATATTCTCTGGCATATATTCTGACATTTTTTCTGCAACTTTCTGGCAGGGAAGAGGAGGAGAGGACAACTCTGATGAAATCTAGAGAGCGAAGGTTTCCTCCTGACATTCTATTCGGCAAATCTTATGACATTCCTTCTGGCAGCTTATGTATCTGGCATATCTTCTGGCATTTTTTGCATTCATATCTGATACATCTTCGGAAATTCTTTGTGGCTGAGGTCCGGCGGGCAACACTCTGCCCCTGGGCTTGCTGTTTGGGTCCGGCGGGGCACACTGCGATCCAGCGCTTGCAGTTGAGGTCTGGCGGGGAACACTCCGATCCTGATCTTGCTGTTTGGGTCCGGCGGGGAACACTGCGATCTAGCGCTTGTAGTTGCGGTCCGGCGGTGATCGCTCTGATCCTGGGCTTGCTGTCCGGGTCCGGCAGGGACGAGAGCGATCAAGAGCTTGCAGTTGAGGTCCGGCAGGGATGACTTTGATCCAGAAGTTGCTGTTCGGGTCCGGCGGGGACCACTGCGAGCAAGAGCTTGTAGTTGAGGTCCAGCGGAGGAGCAGGAGGCGGAGGAGGCGGCGGAGGCGGCGGTGGCGGGCCAGCAGACATGAAATCTAACAACCCTCACCAGACAGGTGGGGAAGAAGCACTATTCACTTAAGGTCCTTACGAGGCGGTATCGTTATATCTACAACAGGACGGAACCCAAGTGAAATTGGAGTTACACAGCAATTTAGCTCACGAACTGGGACACCACCTTTTCGAGAGACTATGTATGTGGTTGGCAATTACGGATCCGAGTGGAACTATGGCTATTTCTCGAAGGGACAATTGACTGACTTGACGACTAGGTGACTAGCCCTTCAGTCATACCCCAGTGCTTCGAAGCCATGGCTGGATCCATGGTGGAAAGCCAAAGATCAATGAGATACCCTCCGGTCATTTGCTACACTTTGCGAACTGGAAAATCACCAGGTGAAAAGGTGGCTGAATAGGTCAATTTCCACAGCTATCATATTTAAGAGGTCAAATGAGGTAAATCATCCAATTCAATGAGCCATGCTGTTTCACAGTTACCAGAGGGTGTAAATACCCCCAGCGATGGAAAATCAATGGGGGCACCAACTGTGATGCGCCGAGTAGGTACTGGCCCTGGAGATGTTTTACTCTGCGGCGCTCAAACATCCCTGGCTGGAAAATCCACAAGTGCGTGGATTTTCCCAGCTATCAACCTCCATAAAACGTTCGGGGATTTCCCGGTCTAGCCATGTCTGATTGCAAGAGAGGGTAGTTGGCACCTCTAGAAGTCATGTTTTGAGACGAACTGCAGAGATGCTTGAAACAAAGCGGACCAAAACCCCTTGAAACAAATGACATGGAACCCAAAAAGAAGAAACATCTTGGCAAATCATTTGACAATCATTTGGGATTGGAAGAGCTGGGGACTGTAATTTTTACTTTTTCTGGCTGAATTGACATAATGCACTAACCTGAAAATAGCTGTTGTCATACGGCCCAAATAGGGAGATGCTTCCCTGACACAGCAACACTCTCATTCCTGCATTCCAGTGACGTCATTCCAGTGACGTCATCATAGTTCATCCAAATATGTCCATATTGTTGGACATATAATGTGCAGTCTTGCAGAATGTTATAATATGTGACCATCTGGTTATTTAACATAGCTATGGAACATGGCCCATTTATAGATGATTTTCCCAGTAAAACCTCCATGTTTAATGGATTTTCCAGTTCGCTATGTTAAATAACCAGATGGTTTTTAAATTTATATCCCATGAATGTTGAGAAGATAGCTATCAGTATCCGCATTGTGTAAAACTCCCATCATAAACATCATCAACTAGCATCTGGTTATGACTAACAGTTCGCCATGGGAAAGATCCACCATGCTATTGAGTTCGGTAAACCATCTATTTCTATGGTTCTATGGGCCATCGAAAAACCATGGCTAGCCCTGTGAATGTCATAACCAGATGGCCCAGCAGCGTAGCATGGGAGAGCTACGTGGCCGTGGACCCGCACCAGATTCATGAGCGTGATGGGCAAAATCAGAATGATGGCCAGGAAATAAAGCATCAAACCTGCATCAAGACATTTAGGGGCTAACCTCTTATAGCTAACCTCTTATATAGTGGTTTTTATTGATGTTCATTGTAGTTGCAAAAAATATGTTTCTAGTTGTTGATAATGGATGATAATGGGAATATCATGGGCTCTAACTTAGTAAGTGCTTTAGAATCCGGAAGTCGGGTAAGTGGGGTGAGTCCACTTGTAACTGGGGTTATAGTCCACTTACCATTTGGGAGCACCATCTTGCAGCTACAGATTTATGTGTATCGTTGGCCCGTTCCTCCTGACCCTTTTCGGAGGTGGCTAAGGCATAGTTCCCTCACAATCTGCTCATGTCATCAGCAAGTGCATGCAACACTTCCAGATCACAATCAACATCCATCCAACAATTTCTGGTTGGTGGTATACCTACCCCTCCGAAAAATATATGAGTTCGTCAGTTGGGATGATGAAATTCCCAACTGAATGGAACGTCATAAAATTCCATGGTTCCAAACCACCAACCAGATAAGGCTATGTAATGGATTACCCTTCAGTAAATTAACATAGACCCTGCCAGATAGGGGTTGGAAGATTCAGTTTCCACTAAACATTGGAAAAATTATAAGGCCCTTAGGGGATATCTACCGAATCCCCAGCACCATGACTTCGAAAAACCTCGGACCTCGATGAGATCGCAACGGCCCGTCCGTCTGTCACCGATGCGGTGAATTACCGCTAAAATCCGACGTTACTCTCCAGTTCTTTAACTGTTTGCGATAGAAAATGGCCCACTTAAATTTAGTTCGATGATGTACGTCTCAAAAATGGTGATGTTCAATAGTTATGTTAAATCACAAGAGGATATTCAAGTTAATTATCCATTTGCTGTTGGTTGCATTCGTCCACGGATGGGACAAAAATAGGAGTTGACCCGGCTCAATGATGCCCACAAGTCGATACCCCATCGGGTGAGAGCGATGGAGAAGGTCTGCTTTGTTATTCCTTCAGTTACCCTCTGGTAAACTAACATAGCTATTGAAAATGACAATTTATAGTTGATTTAACCATTGAACATGGTGATTTTCCATAGTTATGTAAACGTTTACCAGAGGGTAATGATGTTTCAAAGCTCCATCATTTCTACAAACTTCAACTCTTCGACCTCGACGACATCGAACCCAACTGCGATCCATTCTTTCTCATGAGCAATTGGTTTGGAGGGAGAATGATTTTGGGAAATTTGACTCACATGGCTGAGGACTCTTCAGTCCATGACACAATTCCAGAAGAAGACAAAGTCACCCACTTCTTGTCCAGGAGTAATGACCCCTTCCAATTCCAAGTTGAAGAACTCCATGTACTCTTTTTGGATCTGAACGTAGGGAATGAAGTCCTCATCGATCTTCAGTTTCACAAAAAGTTTGGCCACACGGTCATTTTCAAGGAAGGGGGTTTTGATCTTTGCTCTCAGCCTTGCTTCGTTCGAGTTGAAAATGCTTTTTGACTTGCTCCTCAAAAGCTGGACGAACTCATCGATGGTTGGAGGATCGTTGGCAAGAGAAATTGCATTGTGAGCAAGTCATCTCTTGAGGTTCTGAAGTGTTTTTGCGACATGGCAACAGTGTCTTCAAACGTGGCTGGGTTGAAGTTCCCAGACTGCCAGAACTAGAGGTTTATAGCTGAAAAAGCCATCGAACTAAATGTCATTGTTCCCCTTAAATTTGCCATTACTTGGAGGTAGAAATTCCCCATGTTTAGACAAACCCATAACGTCATCAGGTCTTTGAGGGGCTGATTCCCCACACTCACCATCATTCCAATGACATCACGACGTGAGATCGTTGTAATAATTTCTGATGATTATTATCTACTTAATCCAGAATCCATTTAAGTTGCTTTTATCATGTATTATAGTTCAACGATTGTTGAGAAAAAACAGAAATAATCCAGTGCTTTACTGCTGTCATGACCCCGTCTTTGTGGTTCGTCCCCCATTTCCGCCCGAAGCCCACCTGGTTTCTCGATCACCAAAGGGATGTAAATCCTCAACATCGCCGTCCCTCGTTATATCGTTGGAATATGCCCAAAAAGCGCAAGTGGTTTGTAACCACAGTTATAATATGTTATAATCCTTGTAACCACAGTTATAATATGTTATAATATGTTATAATATGTTATAATATGTTATAATATGTTATAATATGTTATAATATGGTATAATATGTTATAATATGTTATAATATGTTATAATATGCCATAATATATTATAATATGTTATAATATGTTATAATATGTTATAATATGTTATAATATGTTATAATATGTTATAATATGTTATAATATGTTATAATATGTTATAATATGTTATCATATGTTATAATATGTTATAATATGTTATAATATGTTATAATATGTTATAATATGTTATAATATGTTATCATATGTTATAATATGTTATAATATGTTATAATATGTTATAATATGTTATAATATGTTATAATATGTTATAATATGTTATAATATGTTATAATATGTTATAATATGGTATAATATGTTATAATATGTTATAATATGTTATAATATGTTATAATATGTTATAATATGTTATAATATGGTATAATATGTTATAATATGTTATAATATGTTATAATATGTTATAATATGTTATAATATGTTATAATATGTTATAATATGTTATAATATGTTATAATATGTTATAATATGTTATAATATGTTATAATATGTTATAATATGTTATAATATGTTATAATATGGTATAATATGTTATAATATGTTATAATATGTTATAATATGTTATAATATGTTATAATATGTTATAATATGTTATAATATGTTATAATATGGTATAATATGTTATATTATGTTATAATATGTTATAATATGTTATAATATGTTATAATATGGTATAATATGTTATAATATGTTATAATATGTTATAATATGTTATAATATGTTATAATATGTTATAATATGTTATAATATGTTATAATATGGTATAATATGTTATAATATGTTATAATATGTTATAATATGTTATAATATGTTATAATATGTTATAATATGTTATAATATGTTATAATATGGTATAATATGTTATATATGTTATAATATGTTATAATATGCCATAATATATTATAATATGTTATAATATGTTATAATATGTTATAATATGTTATAATATGTTATAATATGTTATAATATGTTATAATATGTTATAATATGTTATAATATGTTAAGAATCCATTAGGGTGAGGGTGATTGTCCACAAATAATTGGGGGTGATTCATAGGGTTAACCACAAACATCCACCGAATGTGCTGGGTGAGGAAAAAATACATCTGTTCAACTCAAAATACATCTGTTTTGAGTGTTTTACATAGGGTTCACCATCTGTTCATAGGGTTAACCACAAAAATCCACAAAAATCCTGATGGCAAACCATCCAAAACTGCCCGAGGCTGACTGCATCAAGGGAGCCTTAAGGCGATCAAAAATGTCAAAATCCGCAGATGATCTTCTGACATTTTTGGGCATTGAAAAAGCGTTTCTTTGTAGTTCATGGGAACTTTCCGGTGGGATTTCTTGTTTACCAAACGTTAGTTGCTTTTTCGACAAGCAAAAAAAATAGAGAAATGTTCAGATCAGCTCGATTTTTTTTCGTTTAGTAGCGGGCCACATGAACCTTGCAACGTGTGAAGGTCGTCTGATCCAGAATGGGACTCCTCCCATGGATGTGAGCTGAACGTAGAGAAAAAAAACGTTAAGTATTCCATCCCAGTACTGGGTGTACTAGCCTAAAATGAAAGAATCCAATGCACTCCACAGTTTCAACAGGGGAATCATCATCTTCATGGGGAGAAACTTTTGAGGCACCGGTGCACCCAAGGGAGGTATCTAGCAACTAAAAAAAGAGCCGGAAACATCAAATCCGGCAACAGAAAGTGGTAAAGTCCTTATATATATAATATTATATAATCTTATATCACCATGGTTGTTGGTCAAATAATGGTCAAATCACGTTAAATCATGATTTTATTACGCTTACATCCACATTTTCAGCCAGGATTCTGATAGATCGAGTCCAATGTGAGGAACCTCAGTCAGCGAGGCGCCCTTATCGCCCCTCACGTGGCGAGCATGCACCAGGTAACCACAAAGCACCCAGAAAAAAAAGGGTTCTGAACCCAGCAATATTACATATAATAGTACAACTATGGATAGTACATTTACTATAATACACTATGAAACCATGTCCTATTGTACAAATGGATAATGATTATTGTCACACAACCCACATTAAAAAAAGGCGGTTTGTTTGAAAAATTCTGGCAGAATGTGAACCTCTCCAAGAAATTGCTGATAAAGCAAGTGATAAAGCAAGTGATTTAATGGACACCCAAGGACCGCGGTGACCGCGGGTTTATTGATCGGAGTTCATGTTTGTTGAAAGCCCACAGAACCATGTTTGCATCACCATCTGGACTAAGTGATCATAATATGTTCTAGTCCACCAGAAAAATAACATGTGAACACACACACACAAGCACGCAAGAATATGCAAAAATAAGGCCTGACAGGAATCAGAGAGTCACGCACGCACAATTTTCTACCGAACATCTTCGGGGTTCACAGCGTGAGAGACAATCCTCACCAGCTAGGTGTCCTCTTGTGCATTTTGGCAGCCTTCCAAGCCAGACCACCCAAGAATGGATCGCCCCATGTCACAGGGTAGCCATTTGGATGGCAACAAATGCCTTGCTCGTAGCCACTGCACCGGACGTTTAACGGCGCGCTGCAAATGATTGATCCATCTCCCAGGACTTCGGAGCTGTCACCACCAAAGGCGTAGCCTGTGGCTCGAATCTGCTGCACATTCAGCTGATCTTGTACTGTGGAGCTGTCACCAGATGTTGGATCATCCCAACGACAGATCCATCTGCCAGGATCGCAGCAAATGCAAACCATGCGGCTCTAACTTGCTGCACATTCCTGAGCTGATCGACTGCGGAGCTGTCACCACCAGTCCCTGGATCCCCCCATGGGAGTTCACTCCCATCAACTTCAGCACACCAAAGAGCGAAAGCTCCTACTGTTGCCACGACTTTGGGCTCCACCCGAACTGCAGTGATGACGTCTCCATCTTTAAGACCTGCAGGGATAGTGAAATGTCCCATTCAAAAACCATCGGAGATCTCATCTCCAATGGTGCCCACACCCTTGGTTGGCCAGTGAGGAGGGCCCCCCAAGAGGAATGTCAATTTGCTAATTGAATGGTGCCTTCCCAACAGCGGGGGAGTTTTATTCTGGGTTTGCATTCAAAAATTAAGATGATTTGCAAGCAGCAGGTCTTGGCTTCGGTGTTAATCCGAAGCCAAGACCTGCTGCTTGCAAATCATGTTCAGGATCGGTCAGTATGCGACCTTCTGCAGTCACCAGCCTCAAGAAACGTTGTTTGGAGAAGTTTTCAGCTCGTGTCCTCAAGTGCCCTACCTTGGACGTCTCACGTGCGACAAGGCTTGACTGCGACCACTGGGCAGCACTATGTGGATCTCCATGGGCTCAACGTGAAATATGTTGAGTCAGACTGCAGATGAGTCTCCATGTCTGGAGCAAAATATGGCTGTCAAAACCCTGTCCCCCCAGAGGTTGCAAAACAAGTGGTAAATGAATGTTCATGCCCCCCAAAATGTATTTACAGCATTTGCTATATAGCTATTGATCCATAGTATCAACATTACTTGTACCAATTCCCATGGAATGCTAAATCACCAAAAACCTCAACATGAATACGTAATCCCCACATTATTCTTCATTTGTACTCCCATCATCATCAATCTGGCTGAATTAACATACCCTCTGGTAAACTAACATAGCTATTGAAAATGGCCATAGTTGATTTACCATGATTTACCCAGTAAAAATGGTGATTTTCCATAGTTATGTAAACGTTTACCAGAGGGTTTACCTGGGTTTACCTATTAAAAATTGGTAATTCACTGCTCTGAAAATAGCTGCTGTCCTACAGCCATTTGGGATTCCCCATTCACCATCCTTCCACACGGCCTGAGGCCATGATCAAATTCATCCAGATACTTCCATATTCTTGGTTAATCTTGGCTATATATATATAATATTATATATATATATAATATATTAAATAATATATATATACACCTTATATTAATGTATTGTGATGTCATATATCCCAATGAACTGCTGAGAAAATCATAGAACATTAATATACGTTTTTGTTCATCCCCATTGTTCTCCCATCATCAATTACTACTGGTTAGTACTAAAAACTACCCTCTCGTAATTTGTTACATAGCTATTGAACATTGCCCATAGAAATAGTTGATTTACCTATTAAAAACATGGTGATTTTCAATAGCTTTTTGTTAACGTTTACCAGGCCGGGTACCCAAGATGGATGGCATCAGCTCCCAGTGTCATCAGCTCCGGAAATCTGTGGAAAATTCATGGTGGATTCTCCAGCCAATGGAGCTGACACCCGAGAGATCATCGAGAGCCTTGGATTCTTAAAATCTCCGGTTTCCTGGTTACCCTCTGGTTATGTCAAAATAGCTATTGAAAATGGCCCAGTCGAAATAGTGGATTTTCCCATGAAAAATGGTGGATCTTTCCATAGTTCTGTTAAATTACCAGAGGGTACTGGTTGAATCAGCCCTTTTTCGGCAGCGCCACCCCCATGTTCTTAGCGAATTTTCATAGGGAACAACTCGCCTAATGTGGCAAATATCACCACTGCTGTTGCTTCGATTCATCATTTTCCTGGCAATCGAAAAAATGCCTGGAAAATCAGAAAAGCCATGCTTTGAAAGTCAGATTTCCAACCAGGATGGTGGATCAGTTCCAACCATGTTTCACTCACCATTTTCCTGTTGGATTACGGAGGATCGTCCTACCCCTGGTTACCGTGGAATGATCCAAGGCCAGTAGCTGAAGCAGGGTGAGCATGGTCACACGCAAGGAACCGAAGCTGTTGGCCACGATCCTAGCGCAACGGATTTTGGTGTAGCCGGCCTGGTGACTAACGTTGTTTGCTATTGAAAATGACCCATAGAAAATTCGTTGATGTACCAAACTTACAGATGGATCAAGATTGTGATTTTCCAAGGCTTTTTGTATGTTTACCAGAGGGTACAGAGTGTATTACCACCCTCAAAATTTGGATGAACAGAACAGGACAATGTTGGACACCGGGGAAAAGAATGGAAGGCCCACTGGCATCTCTTTGGTCGAAACCTATGATTCAGTGGTAGCTGCTGTGGGTCATGATTTGGGCTATCTCTTCGAAGCAGTTGGATCGTTTTGGGAATGGATGAATTTTTGTGTTATCCAATGAACGTGTGGCTTTTTGACTAACACAAAAATGAACATTTATATGTACGTGTTCAAGCAACAAAAGTGAGAGTTTAAGCCACCAGACGAATGTAAAGAGATGGTGTAAAATGACCAATTATCCTTGCCTTGTGGTTTGATTGACCTGTGTGTGTGGCTTTGACCCTATCCAAAAATCAAAGCATGTAAATGAAGCCAACAAAAATTTAGGATTGATGGAAGCATTACTTATTTACTTCCTGTTTCTCCATGTCTCCATTAATTATATGTAAGATCCCATCACAACTCAACGACCAGAGCACCAGCGGACAACTCCCATGTTTCTCATGAAATCACCAGTAAAAATCCTAGCTTCAAGCCCCCAAAATTACATTGGCACTTCACTTTGAACGGAACAAATCCATAGAATGCTATAGAAAACCTAGCATCATCCAAGGTTTCCAAGGTTAAATCCATAGAATGTCATAGAAAACCTAGCATCATCCAAGGTTTCCAAGGTTTCCAAGGTTTCCATGGACCAATTTCGCCCATTTTTTCGCCAAAGGCTCGAAGAGACTTGTGGATTGTTCACCAACGTGGCGTCCTTGGTGATGATCTCCACTCCTCAGCGGGCGTTGTCTGGTCGTTTCTATCAATGGATAGGGTTTTTTCATGTTTTTTTCATCGAAAAATGCTGGAATATGTATGAATTTGTGGAAAAATCTGTCACATAACACAAAGTGTGATTTACAGTTACCCTCGGGTAATTTGTCAAAATAGCTATTGAACATGACCATTTATAGTGAGTTTACCCATTGAAAATGGTGATTTTCCATAGTTATGTTAGTTGACCATTTCCCAGGACGATGACATGGGAGGCTGACCTGCGTAAAACGGACACGTCGATGTTGATAAATCCTATAGAAAATGGTGAAATTTGGGATTTCATCATCAAATGTTGATCCGACTTTAACTGGTTGATGGTTGACCTATCCCTCTGAAAAATATGATTTCGTCACTTGGGATGATGACATTCCCAATATATGGAAAAAAAATGTTCCAAACCACCAACCAGTTGACAATCTAAACATTAAATGATTTAAGCATCTAAACATTGAGCGCAGCTGGGGTAATTTCATGAATATGACCAGCAAAAGTTGGGATATAACCCCTGTAACTGGCACAGAGGGTCTATGCAAACAGGGTCTATTCTGTACAACCCGGCTGTGTGATACATCAAAATTGACGCTGGAATGGCTCGCGCAATCCACAGATATCCACTCTCCACTCTCTGCGCCAGACTCGTTAAGGTCAGCCATGGACTGCGCTTGACACATGGCCAGCTGCTTGACGGGCGGCTTGCGAGTACCGCTGAGGATGTTTTTGAACACGAACTGCCCGATGTCTTCTACGAGTACGTGCTGCATGGACTGGAAGACAAGGGCGGAATCAGCACCTCCTACAACCAGCCAACGGTATCTCCAGTCGAGCGGTGCTACGAGCTTGCCAAGCTACATGGGATGAATGGTGGTCATATGTGGTCATCCATCAGATATTGGGAATCCTTACAACAGGTTTTTGTTGAATCCCTAATGGTGGATGAACATCCCCTGTTTTAAGGACATGTTTGCCATGTTTTGACCATGGCAAGTATGGGGAAACCATTGAACTAAATTAACTAAATGGAGCTTTCCTGCAGGACAGACTGATTAACAGGCCAGGTAAGGTGTGTTGGATGATCCTCAAGATCCATTTTTCAAAAATGGAAATGATCAACAAACATGGGATGTACAACAGAAAAAGCAAGTTTACCTCTCCAGCATAAGGATCAGGGCCTTCATGGGTTCAGTTACAAGTCTATTATATAACCATAGTTTTTTTCCGTATACCATATAGTTTTACCCTCTGGTAAACTAACATAACTATGGAAAACCACCATTTTTTCATGGGTAAATCACCTATTTCGACTCGGCCGTTTTCAATAGCTATGTAAACGTTTACCAGGCCGGGTATATGTCTGTATCATATCTCCGAACTCATGGGTGTTATGGAACCATGGTTGGAACCATAGTTGGAAAGCCCCGCACTAGCAAATTCAGTAGGGGATACACACAATGAGACTTGGAGTTGGTCAGCCACAAAATCAATGGGAATTCCAGGATCCTAAAATGAAGGTACTGTACCATATAAGGCCATATTTTGTGGGGATATTCCCTGAAATTTAGGCCTGAAAAATTGGCCTTTAAAAAATGGTATGTAGGTACCTCCAATCAATCGGTTCCTGAAATGGCCAACAATAGTGTTTTTTCAGTAGCCAGATGAATGAGTTTGGCCGGGAGTGTACAGATCACTTTCCGAGACTGTTTCAACGCTTCGAAGTAACCTGGATATAACATGATATAACAATCATTGGGTTCTGAACAAACAAGGGGGTATAACCAGATATCCCGCAGTATGTTCGGAGCATCCCAGTATTTTTGAACGTTCAGCACTGGCTAGTCACAACCCATGCGGACGACCCGCTGCGAAGTTACTGATCTCGGTTCTTATACACATGAAACGTGATCCCCTCGAAAAAAAAGAAACAGCAAAGTAGGAATGGATCCAAATGATGCAAATGATTCAACATATAGCACGGAGCCTCGCAGCTTTGACACAAAAAACATCAAATATCCAACGTCTATCAGCGTCTATCAGTATCATTTTGCTGGATGCTTGCCACAGTTGTCCATAGGCAAACAGGTCGTTTGTGGAGATGTCAGAATGAGTCACCCAACAAAAAATCTGTGGGTAGCGTGGTGTTTGATTTTGATCCGATGAGAAGGTGTTCCTCAACCATCAAAAACAGGAGTAGAACTCATATAGCAATAGTATAGAGTCTAAATCTTTTTGCAATGGTGGCTCAAGCAATGAAAATGAACCGAAAAATATACCCTCTGGTAATTTAACATAGCTCTTGAAAATGGCCCATAGAAAGATTTGGCTATTTGAAGTGGTGATTTTCCATTGTTATGTAAACGTTTACCAGAGAGTAGCCAGTCAATAGTAGACTCCTCCTTGCAATGGTGGCGCAATGAACCTTGAAGATCAAAACGTGGGGATTAAGCAAACCACGCCGAGAAAGAGAATGAGGTGATGTATCAAAAACGGGAAAATCTTTGGGAACAGGAACGGTGTAACCCCCAATATATTTGAAAACTCAAAATTAATTCAATCTTGCACTGCTGTGAACTAGCATCGAAACAGGAGACATACAGTAGAACCAGCAAAGCATCAAGAACACTGCGTATCTTGCTCAAACATTGCCACATCTACAAAAACCAACAACGCAATCAAACAAATAGCATCAAATATCCCACTTAATTGGCATGTACCTGACATATGAACTGGCTTAAAGACTTTTTTTTTAGTTGCATCTTTCAGGCATGACAAGTCTATGTCGTCTTCCGCATGTCTGTCTTGCCGCGGCGCCAATGCAGGCAGCGATGTAGATGGCCAGAACCAACAAGGAGAAGGTCGCCAAAAGGACCTCTGAAGTGGTCGACTGATTTGAGCACGGCTTTGCGGAGAAGGATTTGATTTACCCCAAAATCATCAAAAATCAAACATGGCAATGGACAAATCCCCTGTTTTTTTTTGATAAATGTCCCATGAAAACCTCCAAACTACGGGATTTGATGTATGCCAACTATTCACTGCCAATCAGCTCCGCGGCTCGGAAAATCCCCCGGTGGGATTTTCCAGCCACAGAGCTGTTGCCAATCTGCTTGGTGGTTGACCTACCCCTCTGAAAAATGATGGTTCGTGAGTGAGTGAAAGTCAGTTGGAATCTCTAAAATTCCCAACTTTTCATGGAAAGTCATAATCCAGCCATGTTCCAGTCACCACCAAGCAGCAATAAATTAAATTCAGCCTAGAATTTCATGGGAAATTCACCAATGAATGTGGAATGTGGATAGAAATTTATGGTTTCCTTGATCACTTATGGGATCTGACTTGGTACCTAATTGTTTTGAGACAGGGATATGGTTTATTGGGATATGGTACTACATGTTGGGAGATTTTGGAATGACATGGTGTGGGAATTGTGAACAATACCTCCCATATACCACAAATGATCAAATCCGGCACCTTTAACACTATTCATCAATTGAATAGAGAAGTAAATTGCCACTATTGGAAAGGATGGGACTTTATGTTTCAGCATCTTTTTGGGTGGTTTTTATTCCGAAACCCACGAAATGGCACCATTTCCAGACCAGTGGAGTCGCTGAACATGCAGTCACTAATGGTGACACAGCTGGAAGAAGTGGATCACTGCTGTTGGGGGGATGAGTCTTGACCAAGACTATGTCCTTTTGGTAACAATAGAGGGGCCGGGAGCTGGTTAATCCCATCTATCATCATAGAAACCTGTTGTTAAAGGGTGGTTTTTTTTCAACCAACAAATGGGAAAAGGACATCTATGGTCTTGACATGAAAATACCAATTTGGGGCTTTCCATAAATGGGGGTTACCCCAATCTGTGGATGATTTAGAATAGCAAATCCATCTATAAATTTGATGATTTGAGGGTACCCCCATTTTAGGAAAGCCCCATTTATAGATTATATGAATGATATATACCCATTCAAATAGGGTCTTCTAGCCATGTTTGAGTTGGAGTTTGTCTCTAATAGGGTCTTCTAGCCATGTTTGAGTTGGAGTTTGTCATTGGGTTTGCCACATTGCTCACATTTGGTGTAAAGGCTAGCTAACTTGTTAAAGCCCCATTTGGGAACAATTGAAAGTTATGGCACCTGGTGAGCATCCTAAAAGCTGATATAATCTAATATCCATGGATGACCATCATGTTGCTTACACCCCCATTTCTCTCTTGTTTAAACCAACACCTAGATATTTGATGATATTTGGAGCTTTCCGTTTTGTCATGGGCAAGAAATCATCATCTAGTCGTCATAAACGATCTTGACGACTCGTATTGAAACATGTTAAAAATACCACGGTGACTTACCTTGGGGATCTCCATTTTTTTCTCCCGTGAAAATCCCCAACCTGTCCGGAGTTCAGCAGCCCATGGAGCAAATGCCATACGATCCTCGCGTCTCCGTGCGCTTCGCTTCATGGATGGCTTCGTATGGAAACAGAAATGCCTTGAGAGCCATGTACCAAAAAACTTGTATACTGCTGTATACCTGTCCAAACACATCTACTGTTACTCTATATAAATCCACAATGAATGGTATATTACGGTATATTGAGAGCATAGATGTGGACTGATTTGTTGCATCTATATGCAGTGTACCTAGTCCTGTAGATATGTTTTTCCTTTACACCACATGCCTGTAAAAAAAAAAACATATATATATATATATATACACACCACGTAACTCTATAAAATTTACGCCGCGTAAATGTATAGAATATGTGTATATCATATACACAAGCTAATGCATAAGTAATACGATTCTGCCAATTTATGTCAATTTATGTTCAAGAGATTGAAAGAGTGCCAATCTTAGATACCCTGCAAAAGTAAATCTTAGCTGGTTAGTAGATACTGTAATCAATCCATATCAATCCCATTGATACCAAAAGACTATTTTGGATAAATTTCTACCGATTTCCTACCCATCTTTCAGATTGACCTAAAGAGTCAGACACTCCGATGAACTCAAGAAGAACGCAGAAAAATCCCGTCCTGAAACGATTTACTCCTTTCAGCGATCGTCCTGCAGCATTTTGAGCCGCGAAAGGCAAACTTTGGCACAGCTAGGTAGATGGTTGTCTAAGTAAAACATAGTAAAACCATGCCATATACCACCCATTTTCCGAATGGTAAACATACCACCAAGTCAAAAATGCTGGCTTTTCCTGGGGGATGCTTTGCATGGCAATGTTGGGATCCGAAGACACACGGTAGCGGGCTCGCCGGGCTCGCGACGTTTGATGAGAAAACTCCGGGTGGAAAATACCCTCTGGTAATTTGTTACATAACTATGGAAAATCACCATTTTTCATGGGAAAATCCACTATTTCTATGGCCATTTTCAATAGTTATGTTAAATTACCAGAGGGTACCACTGGTTACTCAACAGCGCTATTCATTGACTCAACATATAGTCAATTTCAGATCATAAAACATGTATATGCGCATGTACTTTCACCCTCTGGGTATGGCTCAAAAATATACAGTGCCCAGGGAAACAAAAGAATGGTCGTGTTTACAAAGACAACAGTCATGTTCAGCCAAATGAACCAAGATCTTACAATATTCAAACCAGATAATACACCATAAGTATATCCAGATAATGAACAATCAACATGTCAAGAAAATACACCACAAATATATACAAATATCCATTCATTCACTGTGCAAAATTCTACCAACGCAGTGGTTTATCAACAGATCTGCCGCGCCTAAGCGCAGGAGTCGGAAACCGCGAATCACCAGGAAACTGCTGAAATTGTTGGTGCCTCGGTATTGCATACAAGGTGTTTCATCCCATTTTAGTATATAAGTGGGTTCCGACCCCAGTCATAAGCGAGGTAAATAGGGTTTGTCCAGTTCTATATATTTGGATTATAACATGTTATAATTTACCAAGGGGGATGAACCAACAAGGAAGGTGTGATATTGACTAAAGGTCAGACAAACCGTTGGTTAAGGGCCAACATCCAAAATTCTACAAACGGCAAAGGACTCGGGTCATATGTAATGTTCAATCATGGATTCCACTATATAACATATACTAACATATACTAACATATGCTAACATATGCTAACTATATACTAACATATGGAAAGTCCGTCAAGTCTGAGTTCATCTGTTTTGGGAATGGATCACTGCCATCCAAACCAATATGAATCGACATAGTCCGCTTATCCAAAAAAAATGATGAGTGGATTTGGTTCCCAAACCCTCCGTGCCCCCTAGATGGCTCAGTTGGTTTGCAAGTAGGTGAACTAGGGTTATGATACATGAATTTAAATGTACCTTAGATTTAGATGTGGTTAAAAAATGTTTAAAAAAAAAAACATGGTTGGCACTCAAGACGAGTTCCATGTCTTGGGCTTGACGTTCGGACCACACCTGCATTGACAGCTTGTTTGGCACCTGGGACAACTTGGTATTGATGGGAATCGTTCCAGTCGAGAAAGAAAAAGCCCGGACTTCTCCCATGTGTGGGCCGGCTATTTCGTGCAGCAACTGTCCAACTTCGTTGCGTAGAGTGACTGGAATCCTGAAACCTGTAGCTCTGCTAGGTTCAGGAGAGTCGTCCTCCAGAGGTGGTGTCAACATGGCCCTTCCCTAAGGAAAACAACCACGCAAGAAAAAGGATTGTTGCTGTGACAGCACCGAAAAAGAAGCCAGCTCCAAAGGATGTCAATGACCAAGTAGAAGGCGCCGAAGGTTGCAAGCAAACAGGGCTATGCCAAGCGATGAACCCTTTATGGCTCGCCCCCCCCGGCGCATACACGACCCCAGGGCCGTAGAAAAAGCGGCTGAAAATGAGCCGATACTTCCCAGATGATCTCAGTTCAACTCAACAAACATGACAAAGGATTTCACTGAGTCTGTCAGTTCGTCTGATGTGAAATAAGTTTCAAAAGTGCAATTGACCGGTCTACATTAGACCTCCATGTCATATTTGCGATAATGAATTATCATTCCGGTACCCTACATGAAAATTAACAAAACTTGGGGACACCACCTTGTATGTACTTGGACAGTTCTCACCAAAAGAAGTCTCCATGTATGAAGTGCCGGCGCTTCAAACAACCTTGGAACCTGCACCCGGGCAATCATGTTCATTCTGGATTTCTGGCCATCTTTGTAGTTGTGGTTTTTCTCAGTGGTAAATAGCTATGAATGCTTTCAAATAGACCACAAAGTCGCTTTGTGCAAGGCCCCATGACATGAGCCTGCATTGGCCCCATGAAATTGAATTACTCAGGTGAATATCAACCTAGGACATGATGAACATCCACATGAATTCAGCTGCTTCAACAGACCACAAAGTGAACGAACAAATACTTTGCTTCGTGTGATCCCCACAATGGCGTACAAATATATATATATATATTTATATTGTATATGACATGTAAATATATATGTACACATACACAGACATTCTATCTGGACTATTTTGTGGCACCCTAACCGACATGTTCTCTAACATCTTATTTCACATTTATTCTCAGATTCTGTCTGGCATCTCATCTCACATTTATTCTGCTGACATTCTATTGACGTCTATAGTCTCACATACCTTCTGACATTCTACCTGATACATATTCCGACTTTCTATCTGGCATTTGACTGGCATGCTATCTGAAAAACATGTCGACATTCTTTCTGGCATTCTATCTGACATAGAGTCTGACCTTCTATCTGACATTCTCACTGCCATTCTTTCTGAAAAAAATATGCTGACATTCTACCTGGCAGTCTCTCTAGCATTCTATGTGACATATATTCTGACATTCTAAATGGCATTCTACCTGACATGATATGTAAGACCAAAGCAAAAAAAAACGCCGTGCTGCCTTCGACCACATGGAACCCGAAGCGAGTTTCGGGAGTGGCTCGCATGATCAACTGCACCGGCCGCGCAGGTGAAGAAGAGGTAAGCGCATTTGCAGACACACCTAGATACATACAGTAAATATAAAAATCAAAACCCACTGCACAATCTTGTTGCTTTTGCACCTCAACGAAATTCCGACGTGCTATTTATTTCTTACAGTCACTGTTCTGTCTCGAAACTTCCACCCCACACTACCACCACGCGCGTTATAGTTTATGAACCTCGCCTAGCCCGAGAGGTTTCCTCACATCACTCTCTAGACAGTGAGCAGCAAGATAAACCCCACAAAAGGATGTTGATTGAAGAGCGCATCTTTTTTGGATCAAAAAATTATCCCCTCTGGTATTTGAACATAGCTATTTAAAATGGTCACATAGAAACAGTTGATTTACCCAATAAAAAATGGTGATTTTCCATAGTTATGTCAGTTTACCTGAGGGTTTCCCTGGGTTTACCCAATAAAAAAATTGTGATTTTCCATAGTTATGTCAGTTTACCTGAGGGTTTCCCTGGGTTTACCTATTAAAAATGGTGATTTTCCATAGTTTTTGGTATGTTTACCATGTTTACCAGGCCGGGTATACAAGACACATCAGTTTACACAGCAAGCTGATCCTGGGAAAATTACGAAGAACTGGGCTTTGGACTTTCCATGTTGGTAAAAATAGGTTTGGGCCGGGAGCTGGTTTGGTATACCATCTATCATCATAGAAACCCTGTTGTTAAAGGGGTAAACAATTCAAACCCCTCTTTTTTCATCAACCATTCAATGGGAATTTGGGACATTGAGTTGATCAATTTGTCTGTTGAATTGATCACTTGGCAATTCAAATTGCTTGCCTTCTTATCAAAACATAGGAACCACATAGTGATCTGACACAAGCCGGAGACGTTTTTGAACATCTAAGTGAAGCTATCGAAAGAGTTGCAGCTTTTGCAAGATCCAGTCTTTGCTCTGAGGTCATAAATTCCATAAACATCTTGCAGGGTGGTGCCCCATAGTTAGCTAAATTTATGTCTAATGACATGAGTCTATAGTAGATACATTGAACGACTTAATCGGTGGCTATAAGCCAACTTCTAACTGGGGGGGCACCATCTTGTGATTGTGGGTTGATCCCAGCTATCCTAAACCTGCCAATCATGTCAAATTGTCTTGGTTCAGTCATCATTTAAGCCAATTTAGCGATCTTTTTGGGGGGCCCTTCCAGCGAAAACATGTCGAGGTGCTGTAGAGAACCAGGCCCACGATGCTGCTGATGATGATAATCCTCGGGAGCACCAAACCACGAGCTGTTCTGGTTGGTGGTTTCAACCCTACCCCTCTGAAAAATGATGGAGTTGCTCAGTTGGGATCTGTAAAATTCCCAACTGTTCATGGAAATTCATAAAATTCCATGGTTCCAAACCACCAAGCGTTGTGTTTATATGCGGGATACACACGTGCCGTTTTCAGAAAAGCCAGATCCATAGAGATTGGCAACAGAAATCATGCTTGGTACCCTCTGGTTCTTTAACATAGCGAAAATCCTCATATTTTACCCTCTGGTAAATTAACAGTTCGACCCTGCCAGTTGTCGGGGTTGGAAGATTCGTTTCCATTAAAACTCGGCTATGGATTCAGGGTCAACAAGTTAATTTACCAGGGGGTAAACCACCATTTTGTCCTATGGTTTTCCTATGGTTTTCCCAATGAAACCACCATTTTCATAGGGTAATAGGATAAACACAGGTAAATCACCTATAAGCGGACCATTCGGACCATAGCTATGGTTAAAATGAGAGGGCAAAGCCCCGTGCTTCATCCCTCCCCCGATACCAAACACTCCCATGGACCATGGTCCCAAAAGTATGGTGTTTATCCGCTACTAAACCATGGTGACTCTGGTGTCTGTGCGTGCGTGTAGTATGAATAGTGTGCATGAGGGAAGAGATTATTGAGGGATACATGAGATACCCTCTGGTAATTTCACAGTTTGCGAACTTGAAAATGGCACATAGAAATAGTTGATTTACCTATTAATAGCATGGTGATTTTCCATAGTTTTTTTGTAAACGTTTACCAGAGGGTATATGAGACGTGTAGAAAATACATATTGCGTCCAAGTTGCAAGTCCATCAAGAACCAGAGATCCGTAAAGCCTGGAGAAAACGCCATGGGTTTTTAAGGGGTAACATGGGGTAACATGTCATGCCAACAACATATCATGGACGCTAATTGTGTATAGCTATAAATAGCTAATACACAACTGCAAATGACTTCCTCTTAAATTTCCTAATCAAGAAATTAGGCATCCAGGTCAATTTTTGGAGTGGTCAGCCTTCCTGGTCGTGACCCATCCTGCATGGTAAAACGTCCCATTCCTGGTCTGGAAATATCCATGTTTCTCGGATTTTCATTGATGGAAGGGAGGACAAAGAAGGCCTCTGGCTATCATTTGGTATAACTGCATTCGACCAGAGAGACATTCACCATAAATCCATATAAATCCCATCACATTAGCTTAGTTAATCCTGGAAAAAGACTAAATTGGAGGTATCTACCATATATAAGGCCTATATAAGGCCTATGTAAGGGAATATCCCCACAGAATGTGGCCTTATATGGTACAGTACCTCCATTTTAGGATCCTGAAATTCCATGAAATTCCCATTGACTGTGCATCGTCAGTGGTAACAACTGGATATCCCATATATATAAGACATGTCCTTTGGGCTCCCCCCAAAAAAAGTTGTCCAACCAGCTTTCCACGGGGAAACCCAGCGCCTGCCGGACCGTAGGCCAAAATTCGAAGGATCAGCTCCTATTGGCCATATGTTTGTCGGTTTATTTCATTAAGTATATGATATATATATATATAGAATCTATATTTAGAGTTATAGCTATACCCCCTGCAAAGAGTATAGATATTCCATAAGTATAGATATTCCATAACATACCATAGTTATTGGAGTTATGTCCGCCATAATGTGCCGTAGTTGTAGCTATATCCCCTGTAAACCCAAGTGAAAGTGCAGTTATTTGAAGCAACTTAGCTAACGTCTTGAACAGTTGGTAGAAATTAACCAACTGATGGATAAATCAATCATCTAAGTATAGTTATATCCAAGTTAAGTTCGCCATTTCAGAATGTTTTCTGGATATACCTATACTTGCATGGGGTTATAGACCATATAAGAGTAACCCACAAAAAGACGCAAACAAGTGTCGATTTACCAATGTTTCAGGATTGGGTGTTTTGATTCAGCGTCTTTTTGGAGGTTACCATGACCTGAAATCCACTAGTCAATATCATCGTGTGTCTTCCCTGGGGAGAGTACCCGACTTTTCACACACATCCATTTTTTGCTGCTTAAGCGGCGACAAAGAAACATGGTCATTGGCATCCAAAGGATTGCCAATTTTGGCCAAGAACTTGATTTGAAGAAATAAATTATACAAATAAATTAATGATTCAAATGGCAACCTTGTCCTTTTGGCAATACGTTGGATACTAAACATGGAGAATGGCCTTTCGATAGAGGTGTCCATAGTCATGGCAACGTTGCCTGGGAGACCTTGGGAAATCCAACCCCAAAAATGAAAAAAAATGGTGCCGCGTGTATTGCCCACCTTATATACCAGTTTTACCCGGCTCAGAAAAAACCCATTGAAGTGATATTTGTTCACCTTAGTTACAGGAGTTATGATCCCATTAACTGTAAAGGTGCATAACTGTGGGATGAGACAGTGCATCTACATCGGGCATTGCAGTACGGCAACCCGGCAGGTGACTTGGCAGGATCCCCTGCGAAGTTCGTTGAACTCTTAGTGGGACACATGGTATTTATCCAATCTAATCCCAAAAAGAAACGAAAAAATCTAAATGATGATGCCTACAATCCATCCAGCATACAGATATCTGAATGATGAAGCCTCTTTGGGCGGCGAACATTCCCATGGCACACAACTCACAAGGCAAGAGAAGAAGGGATGTCTGGAACCAACAAACGTGTGGACGTACCAGCATGCTATATTATAGATGTATAATCATGTAAGCAGATTTGATTCCAAATCAAGAAAACTGATGACAAATCCCTGATAAATAAATATATATATATACTATATATAATATATATATATATGTATAATATATAATTAATATAATATTATATATATGTATAATATATAATATAATATAATATTATATATTATATACTATACATATATTATTTATTTATATTATATATATATATATTATATGATATGATATGATATTATATCATATTATATTATATTAAATTATATATTATATATATAGAGAGAGAGAGAGACTGCCAACCTCTAGCCGAACTTCAAGAACTTCACGCCCAGAAAACTTCCCCCACCACGTCTGTCCACCACGTAGAATGAGAGGAAGCAAATCTCCACACCGATGGGCCATTCACCTTAGGCACCATAAGCCCATCTGAAGGATCTCACGCCATGGGACCCAAATTTCTGCACCCCTGATCTCTGCAAAGAGGCAGTTCTTCTATGGACATATCAAAGTAACATCACCACTGGAGCGGATTAAGCCCTTTTTTTTCCATGGCTTTACCTCTGAAATTCCAACATCACATGGATCTTTTTCAGAGCCTTGGATCCTTTTGACCCATACCTCACCCACCGTGCCCACCCCCTCAACTCATCCCAAGTTTGGCCAGGGAGCTTTTGGGCTCGGGAAGCAGGGAGTGTTCGATCTCCTTGGCGAAATCGCGCGTTGGAATGCATGGTGAGGTGATGGGGACTATAGCACCCCCCGACAAAATGGAAATTGCAGAAAAGTAAACTCCTATCCTAGCATAGTGGTAGATTACCTTTCCACATTTTTAAAGGGGTACTACAATATTTATATATATATACATTTTATATATATATAGCGATGGTGATGATGGTGAGAAGGAGGAGAATCACGAACTGCTTAGCCATAGTCATGGTCATGACCATCAGCATCGTCATCATTGTCACCAAACAAGAAGGTGCCCCAGTTTGTTAGCTAAGTTGGTAACTCCAATGTCACTGGGGCTGTAGATACATCATACATCGAACTACTTCGTGGGGATACACACCAACAACTCGAGGAACACCACCAGAAACAACCAGCTCCCCAGTGGTGCAATCCAAAGGGCGAACCCTTGAATCACCAGGTTGCTCAATATGATAAGACCTGGATCGGCTGCTGGGGAGGTACATTTCAGCATCGTTTGACGTGGTGGTTTCGAAAGTGGTGGAAAACCATCCTGAAATGTGATCTAAAAAAAATTGCCAACATAGTCTTAATATGACTCTAAAGTACAGTACTATAAATATCTATAAATAACCCCTAAAAAGGGACCTGAAAACGAATGGAGAATACTAAACCAGGGTTTCTACGAGGGTATTTACAACACATTGGGGAATGCGTCAATGGATTGAATGAAGGGAAGTCTGACAGGAATTCATGGCACCGGGAAAACCCCTGCAAATTCTCTGGTAAATCAATTTCCGGGATTCTGGCAAATCATAGTACTTCCTAATAATTACTGATTTGGGTATGGGTCAATACCTATAGATACATTTTTAGTGGGATGAACATCCATTTACCAGCTACTTTGGGGTTCACTAGGTACCAGGGTTTTGACCCATCCCCATTTGTTGTTCGCCATCCCGAGATATGGTGGCATGATTCCCCAAAAAAGGTCGATCCAAACTGGAGAGTTCAGACAGAAAAGTTCCGAAGTCCTGGAGCCTGCCATCAAACTCGCCCATGGCCTTTTCAGGGGATCTTCCTGTAAAAAATCATGGTTTAATGGTGGAAAACCATAGGAAAATGGTGGTTTCATGGTGGTTTAATGAGGTTCAACCAACAAAATGGTGATTTTAATGGGATGTACCCTCTGGTAAAGTAACAGTTTGCTATGGAAAATGGCCCAGTCGAAATAGTTGATTTACCCATTATATAATAGCATGGTGGTTTTCCAGTTCGTTATGTAAACGTTTACCAGGCCGGGTACTCTCTGGGCAAGGCCAAAATGTGGTCAGAGTTGATGGCTTTTTGGTGAGTGGATGACCAGCTCTGTCGGAACTTCAGTCTTTTGCTTTGCCGGAACCGAAAACTTCTGGGTTTCAAAAAGGCACGGTCCGTGATATACACATGGACCCATTTATAGATGGTTTACCTATTAATTATTAAAACCTCCATTTAATCTATAAGGGATTTCCATGGTTATGTTAGTCATAACCAGATGTTTATCATCAAACATGGGATTTTTGAGGACTGCAATGGACGCATCATCTATCCCGAAGCGGGATCTCGATGGACAAGCAAAGGGCATCTACCAGTGGGAGAATCGATGCTCTGCCCATTCTTAAATGTTTCATCACCATTGACATGGCTAAATGGCTAAATTTACTTAAATTTTACTAAATTTTACTATTTTTTTTTCTTAAATGTTTTAGACATGGCTAAGTGTTACTAATTGGCTTCCAGTCTGAGATTGATGCTAGTTTGACAATCCATAGTGTTGCTGGTGATGCTGGTTGCTATCCAAAAAAAAAACATGTTTGATGATAAACATCTGGTTATTTAACATAGCCATGGAAAATCCCTTATAAATGAATGGAGGATAATGGAGGTTTTAATAGGTAAACCATCTATAAATGGGCTATTTTCCATGGCTATGTTAGTCATAACCAGAGGGTAAACATCCATAAAAACTTCCACAGCTTGACTCCATAAGCAAAGTCTCCCCATCGTCTCCAAGAAATCCATCCCTTTGTGGCAACTGCTTTTGTTAATGGGAGACCCGGCCTGGTAAATGTTTACATAACGAACTGGAAAGATCCACCATGTTTATCCATTTTTAATGGGAAAATCCACTATTTCGACTGGGCCATGTTCAATAGCTATGTAACAAATTACCAGAGGGTAACTCCCAGTCATTGGTGGTCCACTAGAATAACCATGGGATGTCCAGAATAGATGTTTTAAAAAAAACTCGTATTGATATACTGTCCGCAAGCGTTCTAGATCAATTTTTATCAACAACTCTTAAGTTATCAACGATGTTCAATTTCCAACATTAACCACTGACCAATATTAACCAGTGTTAACGGGTATTAACCACTATTCATGGGTATTGTATCACCACTATTGACCACTACCAACCACCAGTGCCAATCTTGGTTACCCTGAAAAAAATATATTCTTAGCTGGTGAACGTAGATGATCCCATTGATACCAAAAGACTATTTGGATTAGTTTCTACCCATCTACGATTATCCCATTAACATCCATTAACATCCATTAACATCCATTAACATCCATTAACATCCATTATTAACATCCATTGTTAACATCCATTGTTAACATCCATTAACATCCCATTACCCATCTAAGATTGACCCAACCACTATTAACATCTATTCACCCGACCAAAATCTGCCGAGATGCATACGATGGGTTCAAAGGCTGGATGCCGTACGACCTCGCGATCTCGGAGCTGCGGAGGGCCCAAGAGATGTCGCTCTACGTTTCGCTGCGACAATGGATGGAAAAACGATGGAAAAACGATGGGAAAATTGATGGAAAATGATGGAAAATGATGGGAAATGATGGGAAAATTGATGGACAATGATGCAACATGGATGGAACATTATGGAAAATTGATGGTACATTGTGGAAAATTGATGGGCAAGTGATGATCACCATTGTAAGATGGATTTTGGGGTACGGGTACCAACTATGTCCAAACTAATTCAAATGGGAGTTTCAAGCAACCGTAAAGACAATGCAATGATTTTGGAAGTGACAATAAGTGGGGTTCTAGTTAGCAATAAATTGGGTACGATGGATCTATGCAGTCAAAGCGTGGTTACAAACACCAAGACTAGGGAGTGAAAGGTATTTTAAGCAACAACAGTATGAGTTTATGACAACACAAGAAATAAGGTTTCCGAGTAGCATTAAAATTGGTGTAGAAGTTTACACTCCACAACCATGACATGGGTTTAGAAGCGACAAAAATTGGTTTATATCATGGATAAAACTAAAATTCACATGGTATTTACCAGATATGAAATTCACATGGGTTTATACCCCAGATACACCCATGGCCTATGAGGAAGCCATCCGGGTCAGCAGAGTTTTCTATGACGTCGTCGTCGTTGTTCATCATGATGACTTAATGATGTAGAATGACGACATTGATTCTTCTGCATCTCATCCTTCACTGCATCTCAGTCTAACCATCGGAATGGGTGTCCAAGCATCGCAAAACCAGTCATTTATCCAACGTTGGGCCAATGATCCGGATGGTTATTTGGTGGCTTTTTGTCATCCAATGGAAAGAGCCATGAAAGTCATCCAAGTCATCCAGTCAGCATCATCATATGATTTTGCGGATAGAAAACATCAAGTATATGTTCTACCACCATCTAGCGACGTCTCTAAATCCATGGACATGTTCAGAAGATCCAAAATCAACAAAAAAGACCACCCGAGTAATCCCAAAGATCTGGAAGACTTGGAAGTGCCGTTCCAATGAACTAAGTGGATAGATGTCAGCATTTTTTTATAGGCCATATTAATCCCAACAAACTTATGAGGAGTTTACTTCACGACTTCACCTTGGTTCTATCCATAAAAGTAACCAACTAACATACCTCAACTGCACCCCCAAGCACGGATATACCCAAGAAATGTGGGGGATTTCAGGGAATACATCTCCATGTTCCACGGATGAGTCAACGAAGCAAATGGCCAGGAACTCCAAAGGTGATGGTGCTATGGTGGTTTATATATAAACTATAGTTTGATTTATCTACCTATAAACCATATATAATGTGGTTTATATATAAACTATTGTTTGATTTATCTACCTATAAACCATATATAGGTGGAATATTATATATAAACTATAGTTTGATTTATCTACCTATAAACCATAAGAAAATTGGAGTTTACTATGTTTACTATTTGCACCAACTTAGCGTTTTCACGAACTGGGTTTACGCCACCAGGAGGTTTTTGAGGGTCCTGACCCTGCGACAGAACTGCACCACTTGGCTCTTCTCGAAGGGATCTGAGGCCTTTTTGCGCAAACGTTGCAGAAACCTCGGGAGCCAGGGACCGATGACCATGTTCTTATGACCGATATCCCCAGTCATTTCCCCATGAATATGATTATTACTTATTACCATGAATGTGCCCGCTATGTTGATGGTTTCATACCAAAAACAACCAAAAATACGTGAATGGTTGGTTTAGCCCACTTGATAGAGCCCCACTGGACACTCATCCAGCGATGATGGGAACAAAAGCTCTGGCTTGAAGGTGCTCTGGAACCCTCAGAAAAATACCAAAAAAAACAAAACTCCCCACAAAGATTCCCCCAGTCCTAGTGGATGTTCCCATTTTCGAAAAATGCCAAGTGTATCATCGACGAAATTGCACGAAGCCACGTTTGGTCGATGGTAAAACCGAAAAATCCCTTCAAAAACTGGGAAATTCTCCAAGCCATGTTTGATTAGAGGCTAGATCATGGTGAAATCCCATGACATCCATATAAATAGCCATTAAATCACCAGAGGGTAAGCATATGTAAGCATCAAAGTCTTCCACTGCAGCTGGGCCGCGAATCCTCAAGGAGTCCTTCCTGCACCGGATGGAAGCCAGAGAAGATGGGGTTGAGTTTCAACCAAAACATGTTGTTTCAACCTGCCAAAATGGTGATTTAACTAACTCAAACTGGGGATTTAACTAACTCAAATGGTGATTTAACTAAGTCAAACTGGGGATTTAACTAGCTCCAAATGGTGATTTAAAGTGCTCAAAGTGGTGCTTTAATCCAGGCAAACATGGACGTTTACTCGGGAACAATGAAGCTTCACGATTCGTGAAGCTGGGAATGTCATACCCATTTTCGGGTGATATCCTCATGATATCAGTGGCTGGCTGAAATTGTGCATCTGCGCCGATTTCTGGGATGATTCACTCTCCCGGCATCATGCACCAGGTACCCTCTGGCAAACGTTTACATAACTATGGAAAGATCCACCATGCTTTTCATGGGAAAATCCACTATTTCGACTGGGTCATTTTCAATAGCAAACCGTTAAATTACCAGAGGGTAAACCCAAGACATCGAGGTTTCGTGACATTGGGCCATTGGGACGATATCTGCCGGACATTCCAGGACTATCCGGTGGTGATTTCGAGAAAAACTCACCAATAAAACCAGGTCAGTTTTTACTGTAACCTCCTATATAACATCACCAAGCAATAGGGATGTATCTTGATGTATCTTGATGTATCATGATGTATGGCTCAATACAAGTCCCACATCTGGTTGGTGCTTTCAACCCCAGAAAAATATGAGTCAATATTCCACTATATCCCACTGCACATCCCAGTGAACATCCCAAAAAAAAAACGGTAAACCCAGAATTTTCATGGGTTAAATCGGTTAAATATTTCACCATACCTGGAGCCCGGGAGCCCGCTGTTTCCCATCCTGTTCCAGGGTATCCAAAAGGTTCTTCTCCTTGTTATAGCCACCAATGGTCCTGCCACGCTGTAGAAACCTGTTGAATCCATCCCCGGAAGATTCGGACATGTTCCAAGAAAATGAATAGATCCAATACTGGGGGTGGTGCCCCAGTGAGCTGTGAAAACGCGAGTCGTTGGTGCGTTAAAAAAACTCCAATTTCACGAACTTGGGTTTATGGTAGATATGTCTGTATAAAAAACACGAAATGTATTTCAGGGCTTTGTTTTCTTCAGGACATCGCCCCCATGCCTCAAGTGCTTGAACTCCTTTCCGGTTGCCTGCCCAGCCCCGGTCAGCTGGTTGCGAAAACCTTTTTTCAGGTGGGCCCATAGTCATGGTGGATTAGCGCATCGGGACAAACAAACCATCTCGGCAAAATGATAACCATAGTTTCTACAGTTAAAACTACCATCTTTCCTGAGGTGTAACAAATGACACGTCGTTGCTTGACGTCATCAAGCAACTGACTTCTTCGGCCATTTTCTCTAGGAAATCTCGGAAAATCCATCAGATTTCCCATTTTCCCCAGGAAACTATGGTTTTCACCCATCAAATTTTGAGTTCAAATCGTTCCCCTGAAATTCTGGGCATGTAAGGGGTGAACCTGGGCAAGACACTGCTTTGACACTGCTTTTTTTTCTCCACATGACCCCGGGTCCTTCGGGGTGCCATTGAGGTTACAAATGGGTATAGCCATGGTTACAACCCCCCTTAGGTTAGGATATAATTCTACTAACTATTATTATATATCTGGTTGGTGGTTTCAACCATCTTGAAAAATATTAGTCCGTGGGAAGGATGACATCCCATATATTATGGAACATAAAAAATGTTCCAAACCACCAACCAGATATATCCACTTAAATCAATGGAAGTGCACTTCCAAGTAACGCTCCAAAGCAACATGAAGCAACATAGTTGGTGCCTGAATAAGCATCATTCGGAAGGCTTCATGGGTCAACCCCAACTGAATGATGACGGAGCGTCGCCCTAAGACATCTAGTGGCGGTTGCTGAACATCTGCCATCAACTCAACGGGTATGACGCTTCCATACCAAAGGTCAAAGACATCACAAAAAGAACAATTCCAAATATACGTTTTCCTGTATTACGACAAATGATTGGTTAATATTTGATAGTGAACATCTCTCAAAATTCCAGTATCGCATATACGTGTGTATATATAATATACACTGTATATTACATATTATATTGAAGAGAGAGAGAGATATATATATATATATATGCGATGTTGTTATTATACATAGGTTACTTATACAAGCACCGTACTTAAGTCACATCAGGCGGGAAAAGTCACATCATCCCCATGTCACAGCGGCGATACAGAAAAGTCACATCAGGTAGTGGAAAGTCACATCAGGGAAGAAGAATCACCATGGCACAGCCTGTTTCACCTGTAATGATACATATGCCTAAAAGTGGCCGAAGCATTGCGCACAGCAGGGAAAAGGACAGATATTTTGCTGAAAAGGTTCATATTTGTAAAGAATCCTAATGGAAGCAGCAGGCAAGCAAGCAGCAAGCAAGCAGCAGGCAAGCAGCAGGCAAGCAGCAGGCAAGCAGCAGCAGGGAGCAGCAGCAGCAAGCAGCAGGCAAGCAAGCAGCAAGCAAGCAAGCAGCAGCAAGCAAGCAGCAGCAACCAGTGTATGCCCCTTGAATGAATAATCAAATAATATAAGTACTAAAAATGGCCGCACACGGCTCCAAAGCAATGAAATAATTCAGTTACTAAAAGTTGTGGTGATGCCAAAATTAAACTTTTGCAGACGCACTCGGCCTCCCGATACGACTTTAACGAGCTGACACGACTTAATCATTAATCCTAGCGCTTGTAGCCAACTTATAGCTCAAAACGATTGATCCCCAGATGAACTGGCCAACCAATGGATCGGTCGCTTGAACCGAAGGACTGATGCCACAATGAATCGTTCGAAGGTGACATATCTTACAAACTCAGCAATAAGATATATATATTATGATTGCATAAATCGTGTATCATAATGTGATTGATAGGTAGAATGGATTGAAGGTCAATCAAATTGATGACTCTTATGGTGAAACTGTAGCCCCATGGAAGTTCCAACATGTCCAACCAAAGCTTGGATCCATCTATCTCAACAAATATGACAGTCGATTAGGATCATCCTTCTAGGTAAGGTCAAGCATAAATTACCCTCTGGTAAACATACAAAAAACTATTGAAAATCACCATTTTTAATGGGTAAATCAACTATTTCGACTGGGCCATGTTCAATAGCTAACTATTAGTTTACCAGAGGGTAAACCTCCATTTTCCTATGGTTTTCCTATGGTTTACCAGAGTGATACCACCCAGCAGACATCTGAGACCTCTTTGGGTCACCATTTTGTAGTGAGGTCAACCAGTTGCATGAAACACTTCACCAGAATCAAATGCTTTGAATGCTTTGAACAAGAAAAACAAACCAATTTACCAGCACTTGCCCAAATATCATCAATGATATATATATATATATTATATTATATTATATTATATTATATTATATTATATTATATTATATTATATTATATTATATATATTGTAATTATATATGACGGTTTGCCAAAATGTCTTTTCCTGGTTTGGTTGATAAATCGTAATTCCTTGGGTTTAAGGAGCTAAGCGTTAGTTACATTTTGACTTTTCTTCATGTTGAAATAACAAGCAGACAGGACACACAAAAAAAATATATCCTTGAACATGGGCGGAAAAAAAAATAGCGCAAACCTAGCGGGTTTGCTAGCGCTGCCTTGCAGAATTGGTGAATTTAGTTGCGTGCCGCCTCATAACAAAGAGGAAAAACCACTAGGTCCACACTAATTATCAACAACTAGTACAAAACTTCTGTCAACTATTTTTAGCAAATGGTCATATATATATATAATATATATATATATTGTTGCTCAGATATCCCATTCTATCCCATGGTATCCCCATTAAAATCCAATAAATCACCATTTCTGACATGACTTTGCCCCATTATTCTCCAGATTTCCTCCTCAAAGTGCCCCAAAAAGATAGGGAAAATCCCTACGTCTGGGACGTGTTGCTGCCTCCTTGGGGCTGAGCGAAATCGTTGGAGACTCCGAAGGAATTTGCCCTGCGACCTGGTCGTAAGTGGTTTCCCCTGAAAATCATATTAGGGTTACCCTCTGGTAAACTAACATAGCTATTGAAAATGGCCATTTATATCCATTTATAGTGGATTTACCCATTAAAAAAAAAAGTGATTTTCCATAGCTATACTTGAGCAGTGTTCAAGCCATCCCTCTATCATTCCATTTAATCCTGGGTGTTTCAAAAATATAGGGATTCCCCATTCTTGGATGATTTTAATCCCCAATATATTGGGTAGTATAATCCCCAAACTAATCATCAACCAACCAGGGTTTTGAACACTGCTCACTTGGTGGCTCATCCCATTTACTAAGTAGGTTATATCCCTGGTTCAAAGTGCGAACTTGTAGGGTTTTTCCCACTTACAACTGGGGTTATAACCTACTTGCCAAGTGGGATGAACCACCAAGTGGTCACTAGTTCATAATAGATATAGTTTTAGTGAGTGGTTTCCCCTACTATAACCAAGTTAATAGTTTAAAATAGTGATTAAATAATAGCTAACAATGGTTGATCATAGTTGATAGTGGCTTTTGCCACCGGCTAATAGTGGACACCGGCTTCTAGAATGGTTATTAATGGTTAGTGGCAAGATCAGAAGTTTCGCGACTGAATTTCACTTTCGTGAAGCACCACTCGTATCACAACCGGCAACACAGATACGTGGTCTTTTCATGAAGATATCTGCAGTTGGATGGGTTTATACAAGTTCATTAACCAACTTATAACTTGGGGACCCTTTTTCATTGGGAATTTCAGGATCCTAAATGGAGGTACTGTACCATATAAGGCCATATTTTGGGGGAATATTCCTTACATAGCCTTATATAGGCCTTATATATGTTAGGTACCTCCAATTTAGGATCCTGGAATGGCCATTGATATAACTTGGGGACCCTTTTGTACCAATGCTGGGAAAATAGGATTGAACTACTGAGTATATGTGGAATGTATGGCAAAAAGACCAGCAGGCAATGGGGAAGATAGATTGAATTCAATTTCAAAATCCTGCCCAAGCAAAGCGAGTGATATTGCCTGCAAATAATCTGCGGACCTTTGAACATTGCTGTCTGGCGAACAACCAACAGGAACGGAAAGGTACACCAAGGAAACAAAATTGGATATATTTCACCTTTAAACACATACGGGACTTAACAAACAGGCAACACATGCTTGCATAAAAATCAATATACTCACAACTAAAATGTGGATAAGAATCGAACAAAATCAAAATACAGTATGGTTTGTACACACCCCAATGACAAGTGTTTTTGTTCCAACTATCATATGAAAAAGAGGCGGGTAAAACAACTTACAAATATGAGATCACATGAGTTTTCTATAACCAACTCACAGATATCAAATCTAGTGATAGTTTTATCACATAAAACCAACCTTACAGAAATTTAGTCTGGTTGGTGGTATACCTACCCCTCTGAATAATATTATAAGTCAGTTGGGATGATGAAATTCAAAATATATGGAAAGCCGTAATCCAGCCATGCTCCAAACCACCAACCAATCAACCAGTAGTTGGTAAATCCCCATATAACATCAGCGTAGAAATCGATCATGTCTCGGTCCATCGCCTGCGTCTGCAAGGGTGCCTCCGCCTCCACCAGATTCCGGGATTTGATTTGGAGGATCATCCCACTTAGCGCTTAGTAACCATACAATGTGAGGCCCCTGTTGGATAGCTAAGTTGGTGCCAATAACTCCCATAACTATGGTTTATGGTACTTATAACGAACTAGTTACTGGGGCGAATCTAAACCAACGAACATCACTGGGGGACCTCAAATTGTAGTTATCATCCAGATATTTGGGATGATGATGGGAAAATTTATGATATTTCCTGGGAAAATCATGATATATCTGGGTAAATAGAATGATATTTCCTGGTTGGTGGTATACCTACCTACCCCTCTGCAAAATGATGGATTTCGTCAGTTGGGATGATGAAATTCCCAATATATGATTATTATTCCTCTGAAAAATATTACTGTAGTCAGTTGGGATTATGAAATTCCCAATATAGATCAAAATAGCTGGTTAATGGATTGTTATTCCCCCAGTCATATGGTAATAATTGGCTTTGACATATCCTCATATACCATCATATGACAGATATATCAACTAATTAGTGGATGATCTGGTTGGTGGTTTTTCGCCCTACCCCTCTGAAAAATCATGGAGTTCGTCAGTTGGGATGATGAAATTCCCAATATATGATGATTATTCCTCTGAAAAATATTACTGTAGTCAGTTGGGATGATGAAATTCCCAATATATGATTATTATTCCTCTGAAAAATATTACTGTAGTCAGTTGGGATGATGAAATTCCCAATATATGATTATTATTCCTCTGAAACATACTACTGTAGTCAGTTGGGATGATGAAATTTCCAATATATGATGATTATTCCTCTGAAAAATATTACTGTAGTCAGTTGGGATGATGAAATTCCCAATATATTGGAATAACAATCCATTAACCAGCTATTTTGATTATTCCTATAGTCAGTTGGAAAAAAAACATGTTCCAAACCACCAGTTTCACTCACCTGAATCTTTTTGGGCCGTTTGGGGGATGGTCTCCCTGATGAAAACCCAGTCCCGATTCCGCTCGGGAGAGGCTTCGGTCGCGATCAAAGAAATGCCCAGATACTGTGGATGGTTGCGACATGCTGCACCAGTTGGTAGATTATTTATGTATGTTTATGTCACTACAATCCCAATATTTACAATGTTTTATAGTTACCAATAGTTACCAACTGGTGCAGGATTTCGCAACCATCCAGAGTATGTAGATGGGATAAGCCCACGAAATGGGGACTTACCAACTGGTTTTATTAACCATTTACTAGGTGGGATGATCCTCCAAGTCAAGCGTACTTGAGAGAGGACAGGGTCCCCCTGTCCCAGAAGTTGGTTCATTAAAAAAAAATATAAACCCATCAAACTGTAGATATCTCCGAATCTCCATGAAACAAACATGGTTGTTTCTGCCCAGTGAAAAAAATAACATGTTGTCTGCATATACTTGGCGATTCACCATAGTAAGGGGGTTTAAACCCCAGTTGATTCACCACAGTAAGTAGGGGCAATGTCCCGTTAGAACTGGAGTGAACAAAGTATATAGATTAAAACGATACAATGCCAATTCCTGCTCATTTGCAGCGCAGTGCTACAGTGCAGCTACAGAAAACTTCAAACTGTTGAAATGTGAAGTTACACGCATCACACCGTTTTTTTCACTGTCATCACCTAAGTTGACACACATAACTTGGTCAAATGTATGGGGAATATATGGGGCGGGAATATATAACTACAGTATAGTTAATGGGGTTTACTAACAACACAAGACGAGTTGATGGTCTGGCTTGCTACCCGACTGAGTGGGCAAAAAAAAACAGTGAAAGTCAACTGTGTATCATCCTCCTACTTAACAAAATACTTAGGATAGAAAATAGAACAGATCTTTGAACCCAGGGTTTGAAGGTCCACATCCAGCCCTGGTCATGGTCCTGATCTCCTGGTGCAACTTTTGGGGCTTCAAGTGAGGTGCAGCTCTATCCAGAGATTTTGTATGTGGCAAAGCAACCAATTGTATGCAAAAAATATGGCAAATAGTTGAAACCCAGCATCAGCATATAGATACCATTTCTTGGCTCCCCACATTTTTTGGGGGGATCAATGGGGATCATAAACTCCAAGGAATTTCGAAGTTTGCTGGTTAAGTTCCTTGGTCGAGACTTCACCCCGCCGCCTGGGTTCCAAGTTTCACGTCCAAGACAGCCTGCGGCGACCCTTCGGGAAGGAAAAGTCCGAAGATCCGGGGAATTCGAATCTACTTGGATTTGGGTTTCACTTCCAAAGTTTGGCAACTTGAAACTTGGAAGATTGTGATTCGCAGATTTTGCGGTACATCAGTCTGGGTAAACTATAATATTTCACTCACCAGAATTGTTGGGCCAACTATTGGGATGATTCCTCTTATGAAAACCATGATTCCAGGGCTCGGGAGAACAGTGGGGTCGTTATAATTTACCCATATATACATATATATATATATATCATAGTTAGTTACTATAGTTAGTGATTGATATTTATAATATCTACTATAGTCAGATCTTGGGGTACATCAGTCTAGTGTTGCTACGTAGATATTTTCAGAAGCCACTGACCCGCCGATCCAATGCTGAAAGGGCGATCATCCCATCGGGAGACGTGGGATTTTTACCCATCATCCATTCCCAGATGGAATATGCACACCTACATGACTGGGCCATATATATATATATATATACTGTATATATATGGGGATGTTATGTAGCTGTGCATATTCCAGCAGCTTTTTTTTGTTCGCATCTGGGATTTATAGATGGGATACCTCACTTAGGGACTTACTGGCCAAAGTTATTATTGCGGCTGTAACTAGTTTTTATATAAATGGAATGCTCCAAGTAATGAATGTAACCAGATGTAACCAGCTTGAAAGCCGGCACATGGAGAGTTCATGATATTATATCACCTTGATACTATTCATAATGCCCAAATGGTTCCTTCATCATATGACCATCATACTTCTGGATGATAGCACGTTGGTATCCACTGATGATACATGATGATACCACAATATGTTACAGATTCTCATCATAAATTGAAATGATTGTTTTTGATATACTACTATCATTATATAAACTATATGATATAGTATAATATATGACTATAGTATAATAGTATAATAATTATAATATATTACTATAGCATAGTATGTCCTATCATTATATAAACTCGAGAAATATCTCTGAGAGTTTCTTCCATCACGACATATCACGACCCGCCACCTCTTCCACCACAGCTTTGGGCGGATGTTGAGGCGAAATCTCGACATCATAAGCCACCTGCACCATAAAAAAATCGCGCATGGATGGACTTGTTCTTGGTTTGGGTCATGTTGGGTCCATGTGTTTCACAGCCCCCCAAAGGGGACCTTTTTGGGAGTGGAGATACTGACTCATTTTAAGTCTAGTTCTCTATTTGTTTTGAGAATGTTTTTTAAAAAAACAGGCAAGCACCAGCTGCTCCGATTCCAAGAAGTTTGTCTTTTTGTTGCGTGACAATAGGTCAAGCTGTCCAGGAAACATCAAGACCTCCTGGAAATGTCGGACAAACAGGAAAAGGAGGCCCATGGAGGCCCCCAGCCATAAGCGAGTTAGATTAGCACCCAATCGAACTAGTTCAATATTGCCTAGTTAGAAGCCAATTGGGCGAACACGACCAAAATCAATGAATGTTGAGGATTGAGACTGCAGTCCGTGACTCAAAAATGGTGGCTGCTATTGGGCTTGGCACTATCGAAGCTTGTGAACATCTGTGAAACTTCTGGAAACCTTTCACCAAGTTTCACACCGGATTTCCTGGACACCTCATCCAATTCTCTCAAACAATCATCGACCTCAACATGGGAAAGAACAAGAACCCATAAGAATCATGGAGCTCAGATCCAGCCCTGCCGAAAAAACATCCTTGGGCTGACCAAAAACCTAAGATCCGAAGATCCAGCCCTGAAAAATCGGTCAGTGTAGGTCAGCGTGTCAATGTCAGCCCTCCAAAAAACTGCCAAAACAATTGCAAGATGGTGCCCCAGGTCGTGAACGCGAGTCGTTGGTGCGTTAAAAAAACTCCAATTTCACGTCATGTTTTACGGTGGATACATCGAACTACTTAATTCTGTCATGGTTTCTGTTAACCAACGTTCACATCACGTTTTGGGGGCACCGCCCGTGAAGGTTGATGATGTTTCTCCTAAAACTGACCAGCCCCACAGATGAGCAGTGTTCAATTTTAACTGTCTCATGACCTTTTGTACTGATTAGTTGATAAGGATTTCCCAAAGGTCAAAAATAATCCCCAATAAAGCAGGAAATGTAATGCTCCTATAAGAACTAACCAACCATAAAACATACCTCTTGTACCCTTCAACAACCCTATTTCATGGTTAATTTCCCATAATTTCACATAATTTCCCCATATACTAAGCAACCAACCATCATTTCTAAAAATCTGTGGATTGCAAATCCCCTTCTGAAATACCACCAATTGGCTACGGACTGTCCAGGGATTCATCCACCATTCACTAACGTTGGCCTCAGATAAGTCAGACAAGCGCAGCAGCAGTTTGTCGACCTGGTTCTGGAGGACCTCAAAAAGCTCAGAGCGGAGTGATTTTTGTCAGCAGGTTGGAGGTTTAATTCATGCCAATCAGCCACATACCCTGCAGAAAATGAACGATTCTTAGCTGGTGAACGTAGATAATCCCATTGATACCAAAAGACTAAAGGATTAGTTTCTACCTATCTAAGATTGCCCTAGACTAAAGGATTAGTAGTACTTACCCATCTAAGATCGACCTAGATAGGGATATTGAAGCCGCCAAATCTTCAGCAGGCGAAATCCAGCGAGAAAATCCCTCCCGAGCGTTGTCGCCGAGATGAGCCGTTCTCTAAGCGACCACGAAGGGGGAGACAATGGGGATGTCCAATTTTTCAAGGAGAATGACTTATATAATATTATACATTTATGATTATATGATATAAAATGCTTGGAGCAAAATTCAAAATTTTGGATCTGCCATTTGGATTGCACGTCAGCAGCGCACTAAAGAGGAGCGACTACTGTTTTATGCGGATTTCTAATGGGGGTATCCCGAGGTTACCTATAGGCAGCCAAGTCATTAGATCACTTCAGTATTGAAACCGATGGTTTTGGGGATCCATTTTAGGAAACCTCCAGTTCAAGCAGCAGGTTGTTTGGTTAATGACAGGGAACTAGTGTTTACGGGTAAATGACCAAACGACCAGTCATTAACAACAGGTTTAAACAGCAGGTAAATGACAGGAACCCATTGTGTTGCTCACCTCCATTGATTGTTAATGAATAACCACCAAAAATGTGGTATAACTCGGTATAATAGGATACAATGGGGATTCAATGGGAATCGGAAATGGGATATATATAATCTGGTTGGTGGTTTCAAGCCCTCCGGGCCCCGGGCCCTCCGAAAAATATGAAAGTCAGTTGGGATGATTCTTCCCAATATATGGAACAATAAAATTCATGTTCCAAACCACCAACCAGCAATGATGGGAGAATGATGATTTACCCTCCAGTGTAGTCAAAGGTGATGGGCGGAAGATCCCCGCGGCCTCGCAGATGTTTCTAGATGGAAAAAAACTCCGAACTAAATAGGGCATTTTCCAGCAAGCCACGTTTGACTTTTCTTGAGAACAACTTCAGAAGTTCCAGGATGTTCTTTCTTTCATGCTTTTGAAAAAGCTGTTTTGTCCAGGTGTTTCTAATTTTGCCGTTGTTTCTTTGTTGTGTTTAGCACCAGTTTGCAGGATTCTAGGAAGAATCAGAGCATTTCAATAGTTGTCGGAGCAATTTGCCATCTAATTATTTAGCTAACAATATCATGAACAATATCTAATTATTTACCATCAATTAAGTACCATGAACAATTTAGCTAACATCCCATCAACAATAAATCCATCATACTCCAAATCACCATGACATTTCTATCGTTTTGCATCTTTTAGGGCGTGACAACCGAAAAAAGGTGGTGCCCCAGTTCGTGAACGCTAAGTTGGTTAACAAAAACCATAGGAATAGTAGTGCGATAATATATCTACCATAACTATCCATAATACCATCATATATAGTCTAGTGAAATTGGAGTTATGTTCACCAAGGTATGTGAATGTTGGTTTATAAACCATAGTAAATATAGATAAATATAGATACGAGTATCTCTATCCTAAACCAAAGTGAAATTGGAGTTATAAACGCACCAACTTAGCGTTTTCACAGCTCACTGGGGCACCACCCCCAGTACCCAGATCACGACCGCGCAGCGCCACGCGCCACCAAGGCACGATGTGATGCGCCTGCACCTGATCGATGCCCCGAAGGGAGCGGCGTTGAAGCTCCTGAATCCTCCGGGGACAGGGCGAGAAAAACCTGGGAAAATCGTAATATCGGAATTTATATTACGGTTTTTTCTAAGAATATGATATGGGAATATCATGGGATTTTCTATTCCAATCATTTTTCAACCATTTTCTATGGGATATGTCTATAGTGATGCTTGTTTTTGTCGAATGGTGGCGGCCAGTGGCCGTAAAATGATCATCCCTCAGGCGCCGTTTTCGGTTACCCATAGGATCCATGGTGCTGCTATATATGGTAACATAGATCCCATCAATATAGCCCCTTTATGTTAGCATATATACCAGCACCATGGATCCTATGGGATAGATAAAAATTACCAGCCGTATATCCTAGTACCAGCCAGAGAATTATAATCCAGTTATATATATATAATATACGTATACTGTGAGGGCCCATGGCCTTGAAGCTTCCAAGGTTTCATTTTAGGGGGCTGGAAATGTAGGCCCTGTATCAGTGATGGTTCCAAGCCGTGCTTGTCATAGTATAAACACTACAGGTTCACATAATATATATTTATAAACTGTTTCTTGATACTTTTACCAGAAAACTACCCAAACATCTTCACATGCAACGCAGATGGTACAGGAAATGCATCAGGGCAGCTGGGATGACCAATGGGTTCTGCAGCCTTTTTGCTACAAAAGCCTCAAGCGTTTGGAACCCACCGTGGTTCAGCTACTTCTCTTTTTACCATGTCGGATGATGCAGCTGCCACTGCACCAGCTGCCGCAGTGCCAGCTGGAGCTGCACCACTCACTCGTGGACAAGACCAGTTGCCAGCCTTACGCGCAGCAAGGGCCGTGCTGAAGCAGCAGCTGAAAGAATCGACCAAAGAGATTCGCAAGGAGGCAGGTGCCACTCAAATTCTCATTCTTGTGGGGGACATGAGCCCTGAGCTTGCCAGGGTTGATGCATGTCAACAAACGTTGGCCATGTGACTGCATGCGCGCCTGTCAATATCTTTCTTGCCAGGTTCGCCGCAGATCTCGTCTCATGAAAAAAGCCCAAGGCTTAACGACGGGTGACCTGGCTTGGCTAATTGCTCGCCGTGCAGCTGAGTGAGGTTACAGCATTCATGCTTCCGAAAAGGATGCGGTTGAGCTGCAGCAGAAATCGTCCTCATTTTCTTCAAAAGCAGAAGGTGAGCTATGCGGATGCATACGCCGAAGGCGTTGAAGTCAACATCCTTGCGCCTGTTTGAAAAAAGCCGCTTATTGGGTCATCAAAGTGACTGTTTGGAAAGCCAAGGGCGACATGTCAGGGAGTGTTACGTTCGAAAATGTTGCAAGGAGAGACAAATGTGAATTCAATCAAGGCATCAGGTTCAAAGGTTCCCATGTTGAATCCTTCGCCAATCCCAATTTCATGTGCCGAAATCACTTTGGTTGTTTTATCTTTTGCGGCCTCTGGCAAAGTCAGAATTCTCATGGCCATGCGGTTTGAGCTGATCAAATGTTCCGCCCTTGCCATTTTACCCTTGGTGTGGAGAACAGATTTTGGAGCCAAATCCTATAGACACGGAGCAAAATAAAGTTAAAACATTTCAAAATACTGTTAGGAGCTTGTTGAGCAAATCCCATAGGCACGGAGCCAAATAAGGTTAAGACATTTCAAAATACTGTTAGGAGCTTGTTGGGCAAATCCTCTGGGCACGGAGCAAAATAAGGTTAAGAAAGTCCACATAATAAGAAAATCAATAGAATCATCTAATTCTTTTGATTGTGAATTTCCAGGTTCTTAACCTTATTTGCTCCAATTCCATTAGGATTGCAGTCCCGAAGTCTTCCCTGTATTTTTCGAATCCTTAACCTTATTTGCTTCACTTACATTGGGATTGCACTCTGGAAGTCTTACCCTTATTTCGCCACCCCTTACCCTGATTGCTCCATTTACATTAGGATTGCACCACGCAAATTGACACTCACCTCCCGGAGCCTCATCCTTATCATCTCATCACACAATTTTCAGCATATTGCCGGATGTGGCGGCAGCTCGGCTGCTGGCGGCTGTGGCGGCTGTGGCGGCTGTGGCGGCTGCTGCTGGCTATGGCGGCTGCTCGTGGATGCAGCGGCTGTGGCGGCTGCTGCTGGCTGTGGCGGTTGCTCGTGGATGCGGCGGCTGTGGTGGATGCGGCAGCTTGGTGGATGCGGGTTGCTATGGCAGAGGCCATCGGCTTCAGCGCCATCACCTTGAGGGAGGGTTCACATCATATTGGCACTTGTTGGCTAGATTTTCCTCCTAAGTTTGCAAGTAGATGAGATTTGGCATTGGGTTGTTGCGGCTGGCCGTGGCTAGGGCGCCTGCGTTTCTTTCGTTTGTGTCTTGTCCTCCTTGTGGTCTTTGTCCCTGTCTTCTTGTATCTCTCCCCTGTTTCTCCCCTCGTTTGTTTTCCTGCCATTGTCGCCCTGTGCAGGTGCCTACAGCGACCTCGAGCTCTACACGCAGCGGCCCCTTGGCTTGTGGTTGCTGCTTGCTGCTACTGCTGCTGGTGTTGCTGCTGCTGTCGCTGTTGTTTGTTGCTGGCCTGGCTGCTTCTGCTGGTTGCTGCTGCTGCTGCCGGTTGCTGTTGCTTCTGGTGGCTGTTGCTGCTGTTGTCTTCCTGTCGCTGTTGTTCTTGCTGCTTGTGATTGTTCTTGCTGTTGGTGTCGTTGTTGGTGCTGCTGTTGCCCCTTTTTGGTACTCTTTCTCTCTTTCTCTTGCTTTCTTTCGCCTTGTTTCCCTCTCTTCTGCTTGCCCTCTCTCTCTCCCTGTCCTGCTCGTTGTCTTTGTGGCTGTTTGTCTTGTCTGTTCTCTCTTCCTTGTTCTCTCCGTCTCTGTCTGTCTCTGTCTCTATACTCTCTGACCTTGACCTCTACTCCCTAGCCCGGCCAGCACTATCACTTCTGACTGCGCCAGACTGAAGTGACAGAATCAGTTTGACTCAAAGTATGACTCGCAGTATGAATGCAGTATGAATCAATGAATGAGATAAGCAGGTAAGAAATGGCGGAATGATGGCGGAATATTTGATCTACTTGAGCTGAGCTATGGTATGGTATATCTTACACATTGTCCAGTTGCAGCCGCATTGTCAGCCGCAGTTTTTTTTTGAGCAGCCTTGTAGAAAACAGCCCAGGAGTCACAACCTATATGGTAATCGATCTAAAGGTCCTTGCAAAGAGTTTTAATTGCGAAGACCGTTCATGTTATGCTGGAAACCCGTGCGAAAGTTTTTTTTCGCGTTCGCGAAAGTAACCTTTTCATCCGCGAAAGTTTCGCGAACGTTGGACATTGTCCTCATTCTGGCAGGAGAAGGGCACCGGAGAATTTCGGTTTGGTTCTGGTTCGGTTGCCTGTGTGGTGGCTTCATAGGTAGCAGCCGAGCTTCCAAAGGTGAGGCTTCGCGACAGCCAAACACCATGGTCCTGAAGCACATCCTTGCACCTGCCGCTGTCACTGCCTAATGATGTTTTTTGGAGTGTCAAGAAAGAAGCCCCACATGCAGCAGCCAAGTTTCCAAAAGGGAGGCTTTGCAAGAGCCAAACACCAAGGCCCCTGGTGTTCGCTTTTCCTTCGATGCGACCCCCGCTGATGGCCAGGGTCTGTGAAGAGGGATATTTCCGCGAACGGTCCGCGAAAGTTCTGCGACGGAGCGGGCGAAAGTCGAAGTCCATGTTGAAGGGGGTGGGTCAGTAAACCTTGCCAAAAACAAACCGAGTCAGCAACAATCTGTCCTGAGAAGGGATTCCGTGATGCTAGCTGCATGTTTAAAAGGCAATCAAGAAGTGATCCGTGATTCTCTGGCGTACTTTGGCAGGTGGTGAACGAATCTTCATAAGAGGCGTTGTTGCCCAACATGGGCTCCGCGAAAGATGAACGTGGAGTTTGCGAAAGTTTCGCGAAAGTAACATGTTTATTCACGAAGAATGGCCGTTTGCGGATAAAGTAATTTTGATCAACAACCATATAACATATGCCAATGTGAATGCGTTTTTGAAGGCTGCTTTATTCTAATTCACACGTATGCTTGCATCATTCAATGGCATGAAGCGCCGGAGATTGCGGTCAAAGCAAAGGCCTCCCCTATGCTATGATGAAAAAAGAGAAAGTGAGGACGGTCATGTTCTACCACTTGCTGCGAGTGCAGCTGTTGCAGTTGGCGAGAGTCATGCATGTGAGGCGGGCCCTGCAGAAGCGGAAATTGTTGATGCTGCAAACGCAGCCCTTGCTGAAGCTGTGGACAATGATGGGCATGAAAATGCAGATGCCGCTATTCGTTGGCAGTTGCTGAGTAAGTATAAGACTGTGCAAAGCTTGGTTGCAGCTGTGATTCGTGAGAAGAGCGATGAAGAGCTCCACAACATTTCAATCAACATCATCTTGGACGATATCCAGGCAAAAGCTTCCAACAAAATCAGCATGTCAGAACTTCTGGAGGAGAAAGACGAGTTTGTAGCGGCTACAATGTCCGCAGTTCCAAAAGAGCTCTCTCGACGATTGCTTCTTGCTGTGAACAAGCCACAGGCGCATGCCGGGCGACCAGCACAAATAGATTCACAATGTGTCCAAAAGACTTACCTGCTCACCTTCTCCAACCTGGATCCAAGCAATGCTCCCACCAGGGAAACCATCCTTGAGACCGTCTTGCAGGCATTTGGCGCTGCAGGCTATGGTTCGGATGTTTGCGTGACGCATGCCTGCGTCTTCCGGGAGACGCATGGCAGTGGGCAGTGGCACTTCCATGTGCCGACAGCATTGTCGCACCCTTGTCGATGGGTTGGATGGAAAAAAGAGTTGTCGAAAGCTGGCTACATTGCTCATTTTGCCAACATGGCTATTGATGACCACAGCAAGCACAGAAAAATGCAATATGCCCATATGTTGCGGTACCTCTGGTTGCCATCTGACAAGAAGGGCCTGTCCGCCTTGGACAAAGATCCCTTGTTGTGGTGCAGTGGGGGCCGGAAGCATCCGCCTCTTCTAGATGCGATCAATGGGGTCTTGGA